GCTAAGCTTAAGACTCTTAATAAATAGTAGAGATCTGAGTATTAGACTAAGTATAAGGTTAGTAAACTAGAGGAAAGCGAGAAGGAACTCTCTATTTTAAAGAAAAAAATACTATTTAAAAAGACTTCTATAATTATACCTAGAACTAAGAAGCAGAAAACTAAGGATATTAAGTCTAGAGAACTTAATAAAGGCATCTAGTATACCTATAAGATACTAGCTAAATAGAAGTTAATACTTGCTTAGTAAGATAAGTATACTTTTAAGGAGATATATAGTAGTATTATAGAACCTATTTATAAGCAAGAATACTATAGGGTTAATAATAGATTTCTTAAAGCTTCCTATATAATATATATTTAGTAATTTACTAATACTTTCTCTATTAATATATAAGAGGTTAAGGATACTCTAAAGCTAGTTACTAAGATCTATAAAGTTACTAAAGGCAAGAAGCATATTTCTATTACTTGGGTAAATAAGGAAATATAAGATTTCTTTTTTAAGAACCAGGAAATTAAGAAATATAAACATAAGTACTATATTTCTAATTAATTTCGCCCTAATCTATAGCTCTAATTTAATACTATAGTTCCTATTCCTAAGTCTAGTATTACTAATCTAGGTACTAATAGCCATATTTATAAGAAGAATTACCTAAAGTAAATTAAGAAGCTTAGTATTTGAGAGCTCTTAATAAAAAAAATAGAGATACTATAGTTTTACCTCCGAAAAAATAATATATTAATATATAGAGATCTTAGTAATAGCTATTTTATCTTAGCCTCTTAACTTTTAATAGCAGATCTATTAATATGGCTCGGATTTCATAAGATATTAAGTAAGTATCCTATTTATCTAATTACTTACTTTTAGCTAGCCTAATACTTTATTCCTAAAAACGTTAATTATAATTAGTATAAAGGTAATACTAAAGATCTGGCTACTACTAAAGCTTTAAATAGCAAATTCTACCTTAGTAAAGAATATTAGAATATTAGCTATATTTTCCTTACGGATTATAAAAAGGCTATTATCTTTAATAAGAAGTTCTTTAAAGATATTAATTACTTCTCTATTTCTAATAAATTTGAGCCAGAAGTAGCTAAGGAAATAGGCGAGTATTTACTAAAGATAATAGGAGGAAAGACTCCGAATATAGTCTATTTAACTAGATAAATAAATACCTTTAGCTAGGTAATCTATAAGTCTGGAATTATAAGAAAGTATTAATTCTCGGATAATATATAAGTTAAAGAATAGCTTAATAATAATTTACTACTTAATAGGCCTTTTACTATAGTTCCTATAAGTCTAGTTACTATTAAGGATAGAATATACGAAAATAAAGTTTCCTATAAGGTTATTAAAGCCTCTTATCTAAAGCTTTCTTTTCTTATTAAAGATTAATTTAAGAATACTATAGATAATACGAAATTTGAAGGAATTATCTATTTAGAGTATATTAGTATGATTTATAATATGATTTACTATAATAAGCCTCCTTAATACCCTATAGCAAAGGCAGAAATTAAGTAATAGTTAAAGGCAAATACTAACTAATATAGAGAACCATACCGGATTTAGTATAAGAATATAACTAAGCGGGTTCGGATTACCTTTAAGCAAGTTCGGAAGTATGAAATAAGACTATTTAAGGGTAATAAGTCTTATTTTAGGTATATAGAGAAGAAATTAGATTAACTAATAGAGGAGGATCTTGAATATTTCATTATTTCGGACTCTAAGTAGGATTTTTCTATTATTTTTAGTACTTAGGAGACAAGTACGAATAAATAGGGGATCGGATATGGTATAGTAGACCATACTTATCGAAAATCATATTATTTTGGCGGTTTTGAGGTTTAGGTTATATGGCAAAGGCCGCGGCCTTTTATACGTGAATTGCGGAAATTATATAAGAAAGCTAGTTTTTCTATAGACTTAGAGATAAATCCTTTATGAGTATTTAATTAATTAAGCTTTTGTATACTATATACTATTTATGCTTTACTATTTACGCTTTTGATTTATTATTTTGCTATCAAGTCACGTTTTGCGCTCTGGTATACTTTATGTGGGTTTTTGTCTTGTCGCAGTTTCCCTCCCACACTACTCTCCTATAAGTATACTGTAAACTATAAACCAGGGGTACCACACCTTTAGAAGGCATATCCCCTGTACTTACAGGGGCAGAGTTACTAAAGGTCCCTATAATAGCTCCTCTTATAGCGCCCTAGCGCTACGGTTGCTCTGCCAACAGTGCTAATGACCCCTGGAAATCTTCCACGACCTTTTAAATGTCTCCAGCCCTGATTTGGGGCTTTAGACCTAGAGTTACAAGGCTTATAGCGGGCGTAGTACCTTAAACCACACCCTGGAGTCCACTAAGACCCCTACGCGAGCGTAAATGCTCTGTAATCTCGTCACTTTATGCTGCAATCTTCGTAGAACTGGCTAACCCATGACTTGGTTTCTAGTGGCAAGAGTAACTTCGGATTCAGAGAAATATCATGTTCTCTAAAATTGAATGAACATAAATAATCCAATCAATCGCAAATCTTTAGCGAAGGTGTGAGAGATGAGGGACAGACTTTTGAATTTATTCGTTCCGTTACGGAACGCCAACTCGACGCTCATAGGGCCGTTCGGTTGTCAGTCATCGTAAGGCTCAGCGTACTCGTAAGTACTCCAGGGAAATACGTCCAAAGTCTCCACAGAGCCGCCTAACTTAAGCAGGTAATAATTCACGAAATCTGGAAATCTTATTGGACATTTTCCCTGGTTGTCGAAGAACCCTCTAGAAGTCTAGGCAGGACATATTACCCCGAGTACCATAGTATTCACTGTGGTCTTGGGATAAATACCCTCCCCCCTCCCCCAAGAATAATTGCTAGCGCGCCACATTGACAAGGGCTCTTAATCTGGGGGTTTTAGCCAATCATAGGTAGGAACCTTCTAGAATCGCACCTTCTCTTTACTTAATACTGCCGGCAGAGTCATACTGCGCAATTGAAGCTATTCAGACTTTGCAATGGACATATATCGACTCCTTAATACTCCTCCGCGAAGACGCTTACCCTCTGAGATCCTTGAGACTCCACCACCGCTACCAATTCCGCTTTCACAGCTTTCTATGCAATTATGGGATTCTCAGAACGGTCCTTGTCCTCTTTCACAGCTCTCTACATAATCGTGGAACTTCCAAAATGGCCCTAGGCCCCTCCGTAAGTCCTCGTTTACCTCGGCAAGCTCACAAAGTAATCTGCTACAGACTCCTACAAAGAAAGGACCTTATGCCCCAACGCTTACGCGTACTAATCGAATACGAATCAAGACTGTTTTCGACTTTAATATCTCATCAGAGGAGATCCGCAAGCAATACGGCTATATAATTTCTCAAATTCAGTATGCAAAGAATGCCCCGGCTTACTTCTCAAGTTCACCGCCATAAAGCAAAACCCAAAATCAATACCCTTCGCTGTACTGCCTTACAAAAATGGCTCCTTAAATTACTATCTTGCCAGTATATTACTTGGAGATAAATATAAGAGATTGCTTTACTAGATCTTTATTTATAAGATTATAAAGCATATATTATATAAATAGCTTTCAAGCTTATTGGATATAATAGACTAATTACTAAAAGAAAGGAATTTTCAAACGACCCAGAAATTATATAAGAGCATATAGACTTTGCAAAAGAAGGCTTGACCTGGATATCCGAATACCTTTTTTACTAGATCTTTTCTAATAAGATTTGGGCCTCTAGTAAAGCATACATATAATTATATATAATAGTAAAGGAGAATGGGCCTAATTGCTTTAATTCTAAGTATTTATAATATTAGTATTATAATATAATTATTATAAGAGGAAAGAGGCCAGTAATATTTTAGGGAAAGAAGTAAGGAAATATAAACTCTTATAAGTATAATATAGTAATCTTGAATAATGTGGAATTCTTCCTTAATACGAACCCAGATTAAGGCTTTATTTAGATATAAAATAATGCCTTTTGCTATTACTTAAAAGAAATACAAGAGAACTTGCGAATTTAATAAATACCTTATATTAAATAGCTATAATACTCACTCGATCTCAATCTTATTAAGTATATATGACGTTGGATAAAGAATTGGATCCAAAAGCACTATTACGCAGCTTATTATAATGCCTCAAGGATCCCGCTATTGCAATTGAGAAGGATAATCTGGGAGGTATGGGAAGCTGTACCTGTGGACTTTATTATGAAGCTATATTTGTCTTGGTGGGACAGGTGCAAAGCTGTAATTAATGCAAAAGGCGGGCCTACAAGGTACAGACTAATTTGGAAAGCGGTAAAGTGTATACGTAGAGAATCTAGAAGATTCTAAGCTTTTTGATTGGCTAGAACCTCCTGTTTGACCCCCTTGTAAAGCTTTCTATATTAGGTGCGCTAGCAATTATTCTTGGGGGGGGGGGGAGTAATTCCACCCCTGGCACCTGCTTCTAGCACTTTCGACCCCACAAATATGCCAAATCTGCCTTTCGTATTGGTTACCTACCCCAGTTGAGACTGACATCAAAACCCCCAGGGGAGCGATTATTTACCCAAAGACCACAGTAGTCTCGGACAGGCGTGGTAAGTCCAGAGTTGGTCTCTTGATTATCGTTGCTATCTTACTTGTGAAAAGCCAATAGAATCTCAAAGCATTTATTCATCACGGGCGATTTCCCCTACCGAGTGGAAGGCCCATGTTTGAGTGGACCACTGGCAGATCCACCTCTGTTTGCTAAATCTCGAGTGTATAGATCTTATCACATTTTATTTTCAGGGAGTTAGATATCTGCTTTCCTCCTATCGCTCAGCCTTACCATATCACTATGGCCGGGAATCAGCGCTACTTCAAACTTTAACTTTACCTGTCGTCGAAGTCAGTCTTCTTCCATTTATCTATATACTGCTGTACCAATGGACCCAGTTTTTGTCCTCATATTCGCCGTCATGTCACCCACTTCAACCTTTTCCTAGCATATGATTCCCACTCGCAAGCATGGCCCGCCTTCAGCCATCAACACAGGCCTCATGGGAACCGGTACGCTGTCTATGGCACGCGCCTACGATATCCCCGGTCTGAGAACCCACCACTGCCAAGACGTAGGCACCATGCCAAAGGGAGAAGGAGAAGGAAGTGGGCTCTGAATGAACGCGCAATGGAGGGTACATGGCCCCACACACCCGTAGCGCGGCCAGCGCAAGGCCTCAAGCGGGAGGATTGGGACGCCGTATTCAGCGAATACGACGTGGCGACAGACGTTGTTGCAATTTCCACCGACCAGCTCGTCGAAGCGTACCCAGACGCGAAGGTGGTACTCATATAACGAGATTGTGACAAATGGTGGGCGAGATTCTAAACGCAGGACCTAGACGCACTAGTCTCTCCTTTTGCAAAACCCGTGGTTGGTATTCTCGACGCACTTGCTGGGGCCCGGGCGATGAAAGTCATGCAGAATACGTTGTTTGGGGCTTTTGATGTGCACGATGTCAAGAGGATCAAGCAGAATTCCAGGAAGACGTATTTTGCCTATTATGATTGGATTAGGGAGATTGTCCCTCCTGACCGAAGGCCGGAGTATCGATTGGGGCAAGGTTGGGAGTCACTCTGTGAATTCCTTTGGAAAGAGATTCCTGTTGTGCCCTTTTCCCAATGTCAATGACAAAGTAGAGCACAGTGCGAGGAAATTGGAGTTTAAGAAGTTTCTGAAGCGATGTTTCACTGTCTTGAAGCCATGGATGCTTGGATTCTTGACGGCTATGGCCGTAATACTGGCTGTTTGGTTTTCTTGATCATAAAGAATTGAGAGAAGTGGCAAAGCTGATTGCTTGCTTTGTTGGTTGAACTTCGATTGATGGGCATGTGGAAGATGTGGAAGATGTGGAAGAGAAAGGAAGCTGAAGCTGAAGCATCGACTTTGGTTGGGATTTTGGGGAGTGGTTAATTTTGTTGAAGACCCTCTTTAACAATGCATTCCTAGAACCTACTTTTTCCCGTGGGAGTCAGTGAAGGAAGCGGGGTGGAAAAGGGGGCAAGCGATCACGTGAAACATGGCTTAATGTTTTTAAAACTGTCTGACTCTGTGGTATTAATTGGACGTGAGCAAAGCCGTGCTCTACCGCTTAATAATAATACATCTTTGTTCGGTGGGACGTAAGCAAGGTTAAATGCGTAGGAGAAGATAGACAGGTCATGCCTAAGTCCGGGCTTCATCGGCCGTCCCAATGGACGCCATCCCTATGACCCCAAGTTCGCCGATTTTCCTCGGTAAGTCATCTTAACGCCGAAGTTGATTTCGGAGAAACAGTGTGCTGACACTGCATTGACAGAGCATGCTACAGTGCCGCCTTGCCGATTGCGCAAATTCCTCGCCATTGGCTATTTTTGCTACCCGAGGTACTAGAAAGCGCCGATGAGATGCTCTGTCAGCATGCCTACATGATCAATTCTTCAGCCTGTGCAATGCTTCCCTCTATTGTCATTCTCCACACGTTCTTCGCGTATCGTCTCCCCCAGTTCAGCATTACAGGTGATGCCAAACAATATCGGCATTAAGAGGAGATATCAGTAGCCCCGGCAGTCAAACAAGTATATATCTTCTATTACCCTTAACCCGAAATTACACCATTCGATAAACACTTTGAACGTTCAAGTATCAACACAACTATATCCGTTAACGCATCCACAAACCAATTCCTATCATCAAAAATGTCGCAAAGAGTTCTCCTTACCGGAGCAAATGGTTTCCTCGGCAGCCACATTCTGTCCGAACTTCTCAACCGTGGCTTTTTTGTTCGCAGCGTTGTCCGAAGCCAAGTAAAGGCAGACCAAATCGCCCGCGACTTTCCGTCTTTCAAATCAAAAATGGATTTCGGAATCGTTCCGGATATGACAGTTTCTGGAGCCTTCAACGAAGTCGTCAAATCAACCCCACCATTCGATGCTGTCCTTCATCAAGCATCACCATTCCTCTTCTCAGCAATCGGAAATAATGCAGAGTTCCTCGATCCTGCAGTCAAAGGCACAACAGAGATTCTGAAATCCATCAAAGCTTACGCCCCCGAGGTAAAGAGAGTGATTTACACTTCCAGCTGCGCAGCAGTCCTGAACTTCAATGCACCAGTGGGAACAACACCCCAGAAAGTGTACACGGAGGATGACTGGTACCCAATCACCTACGACGAAGCTCTTGCAGGCAGCAAAGCCGACGCCTACCGTGCAAGCAAGAAGTTCGCAGAGCTCGCAGCATGGAACTTCGTCAAAGAAGAGAAACCCAACTTTGATCTTGTGTGTCTGAATCCTCCCATGATTTATGGGCCACTCAAGCACACTGTGTCCAATGTCGAGGATATCAATGAGTCGAATGCCAGAATCTACTCCAACTTCGTCGACTCCAGCAAAGACGCCCCACTCCCGCTAAATGGGGTACACATGTATGTCGATGTACGCGATCTTGCTATTGCGCATGTGAAAGCTGTTACTACACCGGGAGCAGGAGGTCATCGAATCATCGTGAGCTCGAAGTCCATTTCTTCCCAGGATATTTCAGACATCTTCCGCAAGAACTTCCCAGAGCTGGAGCAGAGGACACCGATTGGGAAGCCAGGGACTGATTCGTTACCTGAGGGAGCTTACACAATTTCTAATGAGAAAGTAAAAAAGCTTTTGGGCTTGGAGTTTAGAAGTGATGAGGAGTGTTTTGTGGACTTGGGAAGGCAGTTGTTGGAAATTGAGAAGGCTTCGGCTTGAAATGTGAAAAAGATCCATGGGGTTCTAAATCTATCTTTAAAAAAATAGCTTCGGGCAATTTTATATGATTATGGATGCTTGGAAAGATGTTTCCGGAATTGAGTGCCTTGGTCATCCCTCGGAGTAACCTGGGGTGGAAGGAAAATTCCATCTGCATCGTTTTGAAGTCACTTTCTTGTCTAACGAAAATAGCACTTGTTCCCGATCATTTAAACATTCCCTTTTTGTTTCCCATAATCACTGTCGCAATGGAATCGCGCTCTCTCTCTGTTTGATTCGTTAGGATCTCGATTTGGAGATGACAGACTCTTAAGAGGGAGGAAACGGGCATATCGCCTGCCTCGTCTCCCAAATCTGAGAAGAGTATTTGGGACATGCGGAGCACGCTTTCAGGAGATGCCAAGTGAATATCCCTGGGGTACAACTACCGTTACTTTCAGCTAACCATCGACAGAGATCATCCTACAAAGCTTCAATCAAGTCATCCATCTCGGCAGACACAGAATACACTTCTCTTCTTCCAGGTTAGATCTAGGCTCTAGCAGCCCACAGACTGATTCAAGAGACCAACTATGAACAATGACTCGAAAAGTATCGATGTTCACACAAGAAACCCAATTTGTTTCCCTGTCCAAGACCCTGGGTGTCCACGGCGGCCGACACCGCACTGCCACCCCCACACGCCCCCCACCACCAAGAGCCACTTGCTGACTAAGGGTGCATGCCAATGGTGTTTCTCCCAATTTATCCGCCCTTGCGCGCAAGGCAAGTGTGTAAGCGGGGTACTATCAAATGCATCCACAGCGTTCCCGTGAGCATCGAGATTCCTATTCCGTGAGAGCGTGGATGCCTCCATTCTGTCCTGCCATCTACTTTCCAGTGTTTCCACAATTCCTTTGATATATCTCATTTTCGAAGTCCTCGGCATTACTTTACTGTAATACGGAAGTGTTCAATATGGCTCAGCCTTGTTTCTCGAACCCCAATCATCCTCTGGAGCCTGCGGGCGACCATCTCCACCAACCATATCCCATCCCCTGTTTGTCTACCGCCACAATTAGGTCCATTCTAAGTACAACGTATGGCAAACTATGTCGACTCATACGCGAACAGGGCAGGTCCTGCTCGAAAACGATGGTTTGCTTGATATAACCATTGGCAAGCTGCTTGGCCAAGGATTAGGCTACAATGACTGGAAGCGAGAATTCGAGAGCTGGGAAGGCTTTACGTGGTCTGAGACCTTTAAGAACATAATCATCAAAAAAGAGTTCAGTTTTTTCAGAAAAGAGATCCTGCGCTTGCAGTCTGAGCCAAACACGGCTCGTGGGCCTAAGTCGAAGACGAACTCGCTTGAGAGTATTCTCAAACGACTACAGGGCTTAGAGTGGGCCAAAGGAGTACCCAACGAAATGGAGCAGAAGAAACGAGATGGTCGGCTTCTTGGAAAAGACGCCAAGTAAGTTACCGTTCGAGTATCTTGAAGTTTTACTCTTTTTGAACATGCATTGACATTTCTTTTCCAAGGGCCCGCTGTCTTCAGTACCACGTCTCACGTTGGAAAGCTGAGGCTGTTTCAACAACCGAACTGTCATCCACCTGCCCTATAGGCATTGAGAATCCTAAAGCGATGCCGAATACAATGGAGACCGAGACCATTTCCCCAAAGCTGACGCATAAATCTAGGTCCGTCGTCTCAGCAACAAGAAATACAACAGCGGTACACTCTTCGAACAATGACATATTTCCTGGTGGCGACTCTTTTCTTTTTGAGAAGCCATTACACATTTCAGAGTCTGACATCTCGTCAATATTCGGGCACAAGGCACCACTTCCAGACTTTGACCCAATCATTTCTAGAGACTACGAAATACCGTGGGTGCCACACACTTCTAGTCAAGTGATTGAAGCCCCCGGGAAAGATATCACACTTGACGATTTCTTTAATTTTGCCGAGCAGAATCCGTGTATGCACTCTGCAGTTCCATCAATGCTTATTCGTCAGTACTGATTTCTCCATAGATTTTCCGATCGAGCTTCCTTCCGAAGAGCCCTCCTTTGAGATCCCACGTAGAAGTGGATTCAATGATTCCTACATGACCTATATTTCTCAAGCCAGCCGAGACTCGAAGACGCAAAGATCAATGCTTGACGAAATACTTGACTCATATGGATCTCGACCTGGTAAGGGTACTTGGTCGGCATGTTTAGATCAAAGTTGGTTCCCAAACCAATTGCTAATATTCATGCTTATCATCTAATCCGGTGACCAGAAGACACGCCTATTTCAGGGAATTTACCGTTCGAGCAGCAACAGACCGGCTCGGGCACTGCCGCTTTCTCTCAGTAAAATATTGGAATTTGGCCGCAGGATCTAATGCCTGACAATTACAGGAGTGATGCAGACACCGGCAACACCTCTCATATGATTGACACCAAAGCGCTAGGTTTTGGAACTACTTCTTCGGATAATTCTCAAGCAGAAGATCGCGAGGCAAATATGTACCTGCCTCGAGACCAAAATGAGCCTGCTACCTTAGCCCCAAACGTGGAAAGAACGGCCGCACAGCCTTTCTATGTCAATGAGCAACCCGACGGCGCAGCCCTCGGTCCCCAGAATGATTCATCATATCATATTGAAGTATTATTACGGGGAAAAACAGACGAATTGGCGGCTGCAGAGAATACAGTCTCTAAACTTTTGGTCGAGATCAAGATGTTGGAAGAATCACTTGCTAGTCGAGGGGATCAAAACCTCGAAGCTACTCCCAAGTCAAATAACTGCCATAAGCGCGGCACCGATGAAACCCTTCGCGGCGCAAAAAGGCTAAAAGGAAAAGGAACTGCTCTTGGCTTCGACTCACAAGTCTCCAAAAACCCCAGTGCTAATGGGGAAGAAACACTATGCCCGACTGGTGGTTCGCTATCCACATCGAACGGACCTTTGCCGCTTGGAAGAGCCCACCACCCATTCAGCCAATATAATGAGATAGTCTCAGGCTACACTGCGATCCATGCTATCAGCAACTCCGAAGCTCCAACGCCATGTCTTGCCGAGGCAGTGCAAGACGTTGGACAACCCTTATCACGCACATTCAACAATACAAACCCACGCGTAGACTTGCACGCCGAGAGAAGTACCACCGCTCAATCCTCGCTGAAGTACACGCCGTGGTCGCAACTTTTGACTGAAAGCACAAACGCATTCTCGAGTGATTCTCGATATACTTCTCTTGACATCGGTTTCTCTAAGTGCAGGGGTTCTTCTAAGGACGGTTTTGAAGAGAGTATAGCGTGGGTAGCTTGAATGTGAGGAGATAGTAAACTTTATTACTTTCGATCTAGTTGAACACTATCCCAGCTGTAGATGGCAGTGGGATTTAACTTGCCGCTGAGGCCTTGTTCTTCCGAGTCGACCTATAATACCACCGGACTCTGCTTAATTTTTGGAGAATATCGGACCTTTCCCCGCATGTCAGATCATCCTTTCATCTTTATAACAACATTTCTGAAAATGATCTCCTCTCATGTGCCACAATACCACCCTCTGAGACCTTCGATGCAGCCTCCACGGCGATGCTCGCCGATAAGATTCAAAAATTCGAATCCGTTTAGTGTTTTGCCGCTGCTTTTCCGTTAAATCCGACCATAAAATATCTGAATAAAAATGGTCGATCAGCGTCACTGTAGTTTGTTCCACCCACGCCGAACACAGTATCCACGATCTTATGAGCATTGGAATATACGTCCACAAAGGGCAGTTGGTCGTCCGATATTCTGTGAATAGTCAAGATGTACGCATCTACCATGGAGGAGTAAGCTCAACTTGAGGACTATCCATGATCCCTTCTCCGTGGAGTCGTAGATCAACGCCAATTGATTAGACGTGTCGAACAGCAGCTTTCTGTAAATAGATGAAGGTTCGAAGTGGGCGCAATGTGTAAGAAAGGTGTAGCTGGTCTGGATTTGAAGACCGGCAACGTTGCTAGAGGCGTTACGCATGGCACTGAGCGTGAAACGGTTCAGCTCGAGAGATTTCTCTTTCGCTCTGCCGTTGGAGTATCCCACCTTCTGGATCAAAGCTTTGGTTCCCAGATTGATTTGGACGACCTCACACCATCCAAGAAAACGTGTCATCCCATTGAACTTCTTGATCAATGATTACAGAGAACTCCACTCCTGCCTGCGTAACCATAGGATCGAAGCTGAGTTGAATACCTTTTTCAAATGAAAACCGTGGCTTTCGCTTTCGGCCACAGTCAACCACAACACAAGAGTCGAGAAGAACCTGCCCGCAGTCGTGCTCCGGTTTTGGAAGCGGTTCATCGCCAAGAGCAGCTGTTATGCCTAGTCTGTTTGCTTCGGTGCTGAAACTGGGTGGACCAAAATAAGGCTCAAAAACAAACCTAATTTCCGATAACATGAAGTCCTACTTGCTGGGAAGGTTCAAAGAGCTTTGCACAACAATTCTAAGCTTTTGATAAGTGGAGAAACTCTCGAAAGCTTTATTCCTCCGCACAGCCGAATTAATATTGCATTTTTGAAACAGTTGATCCTGATAGGTGGTTCTGGTATCTGGAAACTAAAACCTACTTGGATATTAGCCACAACCAATTGCAAGTTCCAACTTCTAGAGAGCCAAAATCTAAGGCAATGAATTCTCTTCTGATTTCTTGTGAATGTTCAGAGAAGGTTCAATCCAAACAACTGGAGTATGTCTGATTGCAGAGCTATAATAGTACAGGACAAGAAAATCGCATACCAGATACGCCATCCTCAAATTACACCTCATTTAGCAAGTCAAGTATGTTGTCAATAATATGCGCATGGATATTTGTTCCGCCTGTGCCGAGCTACCCCTATATTAAAATAGCTTCTATGTTGTAAGATTTACTAGCTAGGGAATCATTTGAATTAGGGGTGGAACTCGCCAGAGAGATGACGTTTTTGTTGTGAAGTCGACTGATTCCGAGGATCATTTTCTAAGGTTTTGGTTTGAGAGATAACATCTGGACCTCCCAGTCTAGGAAATGACTTAAATCGGTGTATTCTGTTACGCAGTTTGGTAAAGTATTGGCTATAGCAAAGAAAGTTGAGTATCTTGCCCCAGGGTTTCCACGGCATTTTTTTTGAAGTCATCCGGCAGGTAAGGGCCATCATCAATCCAGCGATCTTTCCTTTGTGACTTATTCTTTGCTGTAGTAGCGTGATACCCTTCTTGTGTTCTTAAATATAAACAGAAGGCGTCCATATTGGAGCTCTGCGCTCTATCGAACGGCGAAGGCTGTGCAATTTTAAGGGGTCTCCCGAATATAAGGTGAGGTCCGCCTCGTCATTGTAATTACTTATATGATCCTGAGATAAGAGGGAATTGAGATTGTCTTCTTTCCCACGTGATGCTTCGGAGATCAAGCGGGGCCGGCGACTATCGTTTGCTTTTTCAATCTCCGCTAGTAATTTCTTTAGCATCGCCACTACGCCACTGTTGTCAGTTCGAACGGCAGCAGTCAGAGGAGTGTAGCGGTGACAAAGTCCGCCATCTTGGTTCGAAACAGCACCATGGCCTACAAGCAATCACGCTAAGATCGAGTTCTGATCCTCAATTGCTGCAATGAGTGCTGTGCCATGGACTCGAGGTTTAGCATTGACATCGACTCCATAAACGATGAGCAACTCCATCATTTTGAGCTTCATGTCATGCGGACGGAATCGTGGAACTCTCAGTAGCGCAGTCCCAGAGTTCAAATAGGTGATATTAACTTTAGCTCCACGACCTAAGAGAAGTCTTGTAATTTCTGACGACCTCAGAGCAACTTCGTGTAACGGAATTATCCACTTCGTCATGCCTTCCTCACCCACTACTAAGTGGAAGTCGGGTCCCGGACCATCGTCAAGTAAGGATTTGACGGTATCGACGTCGCAGTCGTAGAGGGCTTATAGCTAGCGAAGAGTAAGTTTTCTATTTCTACTCGACTTAATTCGCCTATAAATCTTCGTTTCCTTGTTTTATTAATGTTGCTTGAGCTTCCTTGGCTCCTGGAGGAGAAATTATCATTTTGGAGTGTCGGGTAAGTCATGGACTTACAAGCGGAAGTCGCTGAGGGACTTTTGAGAGATTATATAGGTGATTAACTGAAGGTACTTAATTCATGAAAGCTGGTCAGTAGAGAGGAATTCAACTTTCAATTCGCCGATAACGAGAGCTTATTTCTTAGTGATTTCGGGATGACTTGAAAAGGGGCCCTTAGCGAGCCATTACTAGGCCTGGTTTCTAGGCATGGCATCATAGGGGGTGTGGCACTAGTGAGCTGCGCACCGCTTTCATGGCGAGCCGAAGATCCTTCGCTCAACTTCATCTAACTTTATCCAGCTTTTGAACACCGCATTCTCAACGGCACCAGCATCATATTATGTCGGATTTATTCTAAGTGATGATATCCTATAGTTATCTCTAACCTTGAATCACCAATGCGCAAGACGCTTCGCCGATCCTGCGCAGCTTGTGCCAAAGCAAAGCACAGTTGCGATCTTCGAACCCCAAAATGCTCACGTTGCGTGAAGAGAAATTGCGACTGCGTTTACGCCAACGAGCCACTCACTTCGACGAGAGCTCCCATTGCGGATCATGGGAATATATCTCACGCATCCCACGCATCAATGGTCCGTAGTTGGCCTCTACTCCTAAGTAGAAGTGGGAGAAGCGTGTCATCGGATGCCTCGGACATGTCAATGTTTTTCGAAGCACATATATTCGATCCATTCGGGTCCTACCCTCCAACAAATCTGCCTCATCTCCGTGTTCAAGGTCTCATGCAGCATTGTAAGTGGGGTTCTCACTGGAGACTATTGATTTCTTTTGCCTGACCTTTCCCAGTCTTGTCAAAAATCGCATTTCAGTACTATCCTTTAGATCTCAATCCATCTTCAAACCCCTTCGTCACATCGTGGTGGCCGTTGGCTCTCAATGACCCCGCATTATTTCATGTAACTCTCCAGACGGCTTCCCTGGACGATGAACTCCATGCCATGAAAGGGTTTCCACACTCGGAGCTTCTTATGAAAGACTCCGTTTCCCTCTTGAGACATAAAATTCAGGACCAGTCACTCGCATATCAAGATGCAACTATGAATGCAGTTGTTACTTTAGCGGCCATCGAGGTAATAATCTTGTTTTGACTTGTTATTAAAAATGACTGACATTTGGGTGTCTTAGCATGGAAAAGGGAACCTGCACGTGAGCAAAGTGCATATCGATGGAGTCAAACGTATGGTCGCTTTCAGAGGTGGATTATCCAAAGTCAAACAGACAAGCCCGCTTACAGCAAGAATGGTGCCTTGGTAAGACGTTTCTCATTGCGATTGTCAATTTCTGACTGGATCTCATATAGGGTGTCCTTGCTGGTCAGTGGATCGCCTCAATTCGAAACTCAAGATGATTTCGGAGAAGGGAATGGAATTTGCGCAATACAGCAATGGCAACGCCCATTTTCCAGCGAATGCAATGATCCAAATCTCCTCGACTTCGATGCTCTTGGCCTCGATCCTGCCCTTTGCAACATTGTCAACCGTCTCCGCTGCATTCTTCACGATCTAGCAATTCTGTCAGTCACTGATCTACACGATCTGACTTGCTTTACTCTCCATCGTTTGATGAGTTTACCTCCTCACACAGGGGTTGAGTCTCAATCACCGAACATCTCTGAATGTCTGCAGTACTCAATTTCAGCTTACATGCTCATCCTCCAAGGAGCGACGTATTATTCCCACGCTCATATTCTCAATGCTCTTGTCATTCAATTCCAACCTCATCTCGGTCCTCTATCATCAATTGGGGAATGTCAGGACTCATTGTTGCTCTGGCTCCTGTCAGTCGGAGCGGTCGCATCGACTGGTACGAATGAAAATTACTGGTTTCGCGGAGAAGCAGCCGCAGTTTCAGCAGCACTTGACATTCAATGCTGGGGCGACGTCGAGGCACATCTGAAAAGAATTCTCTGGCACGAAACGAGATCCCGAGATGTCTTCCAGCAAATATGGAAGGAGATCCTCGCATTGGACTTACCACTCCACAGCTTGGCAGTCGCCGAAGACCATGAAAAGCCGCGAAATTTCTCAAACATAGTCACGTGACACACAGCGGAGTCTAGTCCTATTCGATTAAACTCTCCACATCCATCGGAGAATGGTCCTGTGCGATTTTTGTACGAGCGCCATTCGCCATTATAGCGTGGAGGGGCGGCAGACCCTAGTGCAGATCATTTTCGGAGTCTAGTCCTCTTCGGTCCAGGACTTCCAGTGCGTCCCATCCAGGAACTTCCTTGGCGAACAATATGGAGAGGATGAACCGACTGCAAATTGTTTGCTTTGATCCGACCGTTCCGATGTCTTGCTATTCTAGCGTCCTCATTTCCGGTGTACGCCCTCTCAGGGATGTGTTCTCTTCGAAAAAGCCATGTCGAAGCAGCAAGACGTCGCAACCTACTTCCTTTAATGCTGCTACTAGGCCTCACCTCGCGAGATAATTCCATACATCTTGTTAAACACACTGAAAGGCAACTATCAAGTTTCTTTACTCCACCCAGGTCAGATCAATCGACAAAATGGATACAACTGGAACGATGGCGACCCTTATCATGGCCAATACATCAGCGCCATATCACGCATCGATGCCCGCCGTCCATTTTTTCGAGGAATATCTGGCTACCATAAGCGGTTGGCAAATTGCTGCCACTACTTTATTAGTTCTTATAGCATATGATCAGTGTCAGTCAACTTTCCTCCCTGCACACCATGATGCTATTTTGTTGACCTTGCATAGTCATCTACATCAAGAACAAAGGATCAATCGCCGGGCCAACGTTCAAGCTGCCATTCATTGGCCCATTTCTTCAAGTATTAGATCCGAAGTTCGAAGCCTACAAGAAGCAGTTCGCCAGCGGCAAGCTAAGTTGTGTATCTGTCTTCCACAAGTACGTTTCTGCGCGGCCGGACATCACTATTGACTGGCTGACTGCTCGCAGATTCGTTGTCCTCGCCTCCGACCGTGATCTGGCACGCAAAGTCTTTAACTCCCCCACTTTTGTCAAACCATGCGTTGTGCCAGTTGCCGAAGACCTCATGGGTTCCAACGCCTGGGTATTCCTCGACGGAAAAGCCCACGTCGACTTCCGCAAAGGGTTGAACGGTCTCTTCACCCGCAAAGCGCTCGAGTCTTACCTCCCTACTCAAGAAAATGTGTTATCTCATTACTTCAGCCAATTCGTTCGGGCGAGTAGAGACAACGGTGGGAATCCCATGCCATTCATGGGTCACTTCCGAGAGATCAATTGCGCTCTCTCGTGCCGCACATTCGTCGGCCACTACATATCGGATGAGGCAGTGAAGAAGATTGCAGACGATTACTACTGCATCACTGCAGCGCTCGAGCTTGTCAACGTCCCTCTCTCGCTATACGTTCCATACACAAAGGTCTGGCGGGGCAAACGGGCGGCGGATGGTGTGCTTGCCGAGTTCGCAAAATGTGCTGCGAAAAGCAAGGTCCATATGACTGCGGGTGGGAAGCCTACATGCATCATTGATCGGTGGATTTCAAGCATGATTGAGTCGAAACGATACCGCGATGAGGCTGCTGCAGGTATTGAAAACGGCGAGAAGCCATCTGTTGTCCTGCGCGAGTTCACCGATTTCGAGATCGCTCAAACCATGTTCACGTTCCTATTCGCATCTCAAGACGCATCGAGCAGTGCCACGACGTGGCTCTTTCAAATCATGGCACAGCGGCCTGATATTCTCGGTCAAGTGCGACAAGAGAATCTTGAGGCAAGAAACGGAGATGTGAATGCACCACTAGGTCTGCAGATGCTGGAGTCGATGATTTACACCAACGCCGTTGTCAAGGAACTTCTGCGGTATCGACCACCAGTCATCTTTGTCCCGTATCTCGCGAAAAAGGCGTTCCCAGTCACACGAACATACACCGTACCGCAAGGAGCTTTGATCGTCCCCTCCTGTTATCCTGCTCTCCATGATCCCGAAGTGTATACGCAGTCCGATTTGTTTGACCCCGAGCGATGGATCTCAGGGGATGCAAGTGAGAAGAGTAAGAACTGGTTGGTGTTTGGGACAGGACCACATAATTGCATAGCACAGCAATATGTGCAACTGACTATGACGGCGATGATTGGGAAGGCGGCATTGGAGGTAGATTGGGTTCATCATCCTACAGCAAGATCTGAGGAGATCAAGGTGTTTGCAACATTGTTTCCTATGGTATGTTGGCTCCAGACCCTTTAGATATGCCAAATGCTGACATGCAAAGGATGATTGTCCATTGGTCTTTACCAAGAGGGTTTGAAGTTTTGACGCTATGATAGAACGGGAGAGGGTAGACCATGGTTTCCGAATAAACCTCCTGTCAAGACAATCAAAATGAGTTACTCCGCCGAAAACCCCCTCTCGGGGTTGTTCTTCCTTTGCTACCCCGAAAATTGTGGAGTGCCCTCCAATCAGATGCCTTGCCATCCCCGCAGGCTGCAACATTTATTCCCTGCTCCCTTCCCGTGCTTACGACACACTCCGAATTGCTGTCAACCCTCTCACTATATAAAAATGGCCACTGAGCACTTCTTGGCAAATTTTATGCCTCATATTTCATACTTTATTCTGGATTTGAGGCTTTTGCGTTGGCTCAACCCTCCTTCTCAGTCATGGCATTCGACCTCTCCCCCGCCATTGAAGCCAATATCCCAGAACTGGCTCAAATCTGGCAGTTCAGTTTCCGCTCCTACGACATATGGGCCGCATCAATGCGGAACGTATCGTCAGAAGATGAACTCGCGTTTTACACCAAAGCCCTGACCGCACGCATGAAGCTGCCAAACACTGTAGTTACCAAGATTACCGAGCGAGAAACAAAGTAAGTAATTCATCTCTCAAAATATATGGGGTGTAGTGGGATTGTGGCTGATGATGGAATGATTAGGAAGATCGTAGCATGGTCCATGATGAGCAAGCCCTACACTAAGACGCCTGAGGAAGAAAACGCGCCCAAGCCACCGCCTATGCGTCCTGATACTACAGACTTGAGAATTTGGGCTACTCATGAGAGATCTGCTGAAATAATGAAAGCTCATGGCTATGATCCCACCACGGATTTCTGTAAGTCTCCAAAGAACACCACCCGTTTTGCGATGCTTGTGGGACACGCTGACGGTTGAGCAGCGAGGTCGGGACTCCTTGTCGATCCCTCATATCAGAAACTGGGCCTCGGAACAAGACTGGCTGTTTTTGATAATGAGATTGCAGATGAAGCTGGTGCTAGGATTTGGGTCATTGCTAGTTCTAACTCGAAGAAATTATTTCTAAGTTTGGGGTTTGTGGTGTTGGAGACTGAGAGTGTAGTTTTGGAGGAGAGTGAGGATGGTGGGAAGAAGGTGGGGACGCTTTCTATTACGATGAGGGAGCCGAAGGGCCGGGAAGCAGAGTAAATTTGGGAAATGGTACATTATCTGGGTTTCAGTGTTCGAGCGGAGCATCAAATTCAGAATCCTAAAGCATCTCGCGGTGGACATAAAAAGCGACACTAATCTTTATTGTCCTTATTTAACATTGGTCAGTAGTCTGGATTTTGGACAAACACTGGTGGCAGGAACATGGACATTCTATAGCCTCCGATATTTCAAAATATAATTAAATATACGAAAGGTCTAGAGAACATTAGGAGCGTGAGAACAGGAATTGTCCCTACTGGGCTTGGTACAATTAGTGGCACTTTTTGTGTCCGCCGCGAGAGCATGTTTCGAGACTGCTGAAAGGCACGGCTCGCTTCAGCCAGCTTGATTACACGATTCCTATGACAACACTTCAGAAATACAATCTGTCCCAGATGCCAAACCAGTTCCTTAGATACAATTGCGGGACTAGCAGTATTCAATCATCATAGAACGGCTCATTTTGGTTATACATTAGACAGTTGTACTTATTTCTTGAAGTGGTCAGCGTGTTTGTCTGCAAAGTAATATAAGCGAAAGCTCGGTTTCAGTTAGCGGAGATCATTACACATGCTTCTCCCCATTCGAAGACTTCTTACGATTCCAATTAGTCTTCTTCAAATCCTATCCAGCTGAATTTGCTGTATTTTTTTTCAAGCAATTGATGCACTTTCTCGCAATTATGACCTAGCTATGAGACCAGCATCAACCGTGGGGTGGATATCTGCATCGTTCTTGATCTCCTGTCCGCCTATCAGGTTTTACATCAACTTGTCAAGGTCCTGTTGGCTTACGTCGTGGTTGGCATCAATATTCCATAGCGGTAGTGACATCAACTTCGATGCGAGTTTTCTAGGTAGCATCAACTGCTCGTTTTGCTTTCCATGAGGTTTCACTTGGTGAGGTTTCACGCGTAGTGAGCAACCCTGCACCTCGAAAAAGTCAGCCTCCTTTCCTTCTCCTCATGATCGACAAGTTACCATATTGTGTCATAAGACTTTTTGCTGCAGGCGTCCGCTGTAATAAGGTTAAACAACTATATTAAGTCATTACTCACAGGTCCAACCGGACCTTTCCTTCCACCCGACCACGAGCACACCAAAGGATTCTGTGCAACCGTGATCGAAATCTCTCTTTGTAAACCTCATAGAGGTAGGGGTCTGTAGTGCTGTGGTATCTACAATACGTGCGTGTCATGGCGGTATTGCGGAGAAACGTACGAGCAAGTCGGTCAAACTGCTTGTTGTGTCTCCTCACTCGGTGGATTTGCTGTGTCAAGTGAGTGTGTCTATGCTGGTGAACATAGAGTGTCCTTCCTTGCTTGTGGGGAAGCTGCTCATTTGAGCTATTGTGCCCCCTTGCGTTGCACATATTGGGGTTTGTAACACACAAAGTCACAACGGCTCCCCGCATTGCTCCCGAGGCTGAATGATTCGCTTTTGAAAGTGTCCATTCCCAAGATGGTCCAAAGCCGGCTCACAACATACGACAATCAGATGGATCAACTTCGGCTTTGCTGACAAGGCACCGCAAACCTGCAGTCGGTACGTACATTACTTGCAATGCAGCTCAGAAGCAGTGATATGTTGCAAAGTTCAAGTCTTCAGCTTGTGTTACTACACAAGGAGGTACCAGGCCTGACAGTGTCATGGTGTTCTGATATTTAAAGGAGAAGATGGTCGGCGGTTGTTAGATTGTTCGAAGTTCAGTGCTCTTCATACAATTTACTTACATCTCCATCTACCTATTGCTTGAGCCCATCTCATTCTTTCAATCAACATGCACTTCCCGGCCATGGCTACTCTCACTGCACTCTTCGCCGCAACGGCGTTCGCTCTCCTTGCCGGGAGTGAAGCAGAAGAATTCCTTCCATACGCTGGACCGGACAACTACATCATCCAGAACGTTAAAACTGGGACTGTCCTTGATCTTCTTAACGGACGTCCTGGCCCAAACACCCCTCTCAACGGCTAGTGAGTCGATTTTACGGTATACGTGATCTTTGCACCCACATTGACCCAATATTGCAGCCAACTGAATCCAGGTCCGCACCAGAGATGGTATGTTGCGTCAACAGGCGCTAATGACGACGTCATGATTGTCAATACTGCCACGGGGGCCATTGCCTCTTGCCCCCACAGTAATCAGCACTCCACCTTTTCAATTCTGCCAGACTAATATACTTAGGTGTAAATGCGCCAAATGGGTGGTATCAAATGATTGGCGGGGAGGTCCCTGTTGACGGCTACTCTCGAGTAAGTTCTTGCTGAGTTGGGCATTCTTCAGCCAGCAGCTAACGACCAAATCCATAGTTCAATATGATCCCCAATAAAGACAGCAGTGTTCAGTATGTTCCCAGATTCACATCAAAATGATCTTTCAAGGAGCCTCCTCATTTAATTGGCATTAGCTGACCCCATGGAATAGATTCAAGAACCAGGCCAATGGCTGGTGCATGGACATGGCGCAGTCAAGCTCTGCGGATGGGACTAACGTGCTGTGCTACCCCTGTCATCCCGGGGTTGGCACCAACCAGAATTGGGTTATGGTTCTTGCATGATTTTGAAATCAGGAAAGTTGACGATTTGGGTTTTTCTTTCTTGAGTTTATGTGGATTTAGGTTTCACCTCATGGGTTTCCTAAATTCCTGCCTGAATTGGCACATATCTCTCATAATACTAAGTAGTGGTTTTATCTTGATTTTCTTAAAGTAATCGCATTATAACTGTCTTCTGAGGAATCTAGTCCCATTATGTGTGAAAAGTCACTATGCACGTGACCACAACTTCCTCCTATATTTTTATGACTTAGTACTAGTGGACAGTTGAATTCGGCGGCATAAACGCAAAATCCTCTTGATATCCCAGAACACCACCGCTTTCTTTTCATGAATGTTTATTGTTAATTTTAAAACTTGTCAGTAGCGATTTAGTCTTATCAGTGATTAGGGAACCAGGAAAGCCTGCTCTGGACTCTGGTGGCAGGTTGGTGAAGAGACGACGCGGGTATTTCTCAGCCTTACGGGATCTTTTTTAGGTCATCAAAGACCACCTCTGCAACGAAATTGCGAACTTCACCCGATTCGAACTCAGACGCTCCTGAATCCCCTCTATGCCACCACTTTACTCAAGTCACTAGACTTGCTAGTACAGTAGCAGGGGCTAGTTGCTTCTCAACTTCCAAGGCAGTGATCGTGCTTATCAGTTGGTTTCTCACCATTCCGTGACAAAGGGCGCCCTCGAAGGCTCTTGATACTCTGCTCCAACGTTGCTTCGGAAAGATCCGGCCGAGATATAACTGCCGTCTTTTCCAAGTTACGAATACCCGCCTGACTGATATCAGGAACTCGCTGAGAGTTCAGATGCCTGCGGCAAGGAGCAACCAGTTCAGCAAGGAAGAAAACTGCAGGAAGTGGATGAAATAACGCAAGGCTCCGGCGAAGAGTCCCAGGTCCCGGTGAAAGAAGGGCATAACAAAAGTCATGTCTATGGCAATCTCCAGGACTTCGATCAGATCCGCCTTCTACATCTACAGGCTTTGTTCGGGAAGCGGAAAAATTAAATGCACCTCAAACTCGCAAAATTTTCCGAGTTGCCTTAGTACGAGGTGCTCTCCTATCTATATGTGGGGTCCTCCAAAGCTCATCAAGTTGATACTTGTCGACGGGGCCGATTTCGAAGTCCGGGAGAATCTCTGGGTGGCACTTCAGCATTTACGTTTGGACTCCAAACCAAGGGAGCTATGGGTCGATGCCATTTACATTAGTCAACGAAATATCCATGAACGAGATTATCAGGTTAATCAGATGGCCCAGATCTACGAGCAAGCAACAAGGGTCATTGTATGGCGTGGGGCATCGGAAGCATCCAGCAAACTTGCCATGGAGCTCATCTCCTCCTTTCAGGGGGGAACACAGTTTATCCAACCGTCAACCGATCGGAAAGTACTCGCTAAATGAAATTGAAAACTCACTGCTCTTCATGCCCTTCTTATTCGAGAGTATGGGAGCAGACTTTGGATTATCCAAGAATTCTTATTTGCGAAAGAGTTCATACTCCAGTGTAGTGGTGATCGGCGTCCTTCGTTTCACTTTTCCTTTTTCTTGTGACTAGCATGGGGTATTTCAACGGTATCTGGAGAACATTCAACGGTCTTGGAGTGCCAGGAACGATTAAGGATCTTGCAAGCTATTCTCAATTCCCTGCCGGCAAAGTTCATGCTTCAGCGAGAAACTAGAGGTACGACAGGAGACAAAGGATTTTCGAGGCTCGATAAAACCAGGTCAAGACCTACCAACTTGCAACCTCTGTTCATGTTCTTCTCGGACTATAAAGGAGCGGTCCAATGCGAAGATCCCCGAGACAAGATTTTAGGCCTTCGCAGCTTGGCCTCTGGTTGTTGCAAGAAAGCTGTTCCAGCTCAGTACTCTTTAACTTGGAAGGGATCCCTTTGGGGTCAGACTCTAATCTCATATTCGCTAGTTCCGCTTTAGTCACCGAACGCGAGCTGCTGCTGCTTAACCTGAGCTGAGGGTGAGCGTACCTGATCAGAGCTTGGACGTTCTGAGCACGCCCTGGGTCCGCCTCTGCTCCATAATATGGAACCCATTTTGGCCTCCAGCTCAGTTTCTTTGCCGGATCGCCCGGAATCTGTTTCTACTCCCTTGCAGGGTTCCTGCTGGAGCAACTTTGAATCCCTACCAGCACCTCCCTCTATTTTTACTTCTTCTCGAACGAAATGCTTGCTTCCCTCTTCTTCTGTTCGATTAAATCAATATCGTCTCCTTCATATTGTCGGGCTCCGAGTATATCGAGTGGGGTAACATTTTTGGGGAGGCGTTATTATACATTTCATGTATAAAGCGGAATAAAGTTGTCGCCCAAGCTAGATTTGTTCAGGCCATGCTCATACTTAACCACTCTCAGGTCCAAAGAGGGAAGTCAAATCTCTTTCCCGCGTGACCACGGCCGCTAAAGAGAGGAGGCTTAAAAGTAGTAAAGAACTATTAAATTATAAGTTTAGTGTAAGAAAAACCCAAGGGAAGAAACCAAAACCTAAAATCTGAGACTCCGTAATTATAAAGAAGAGAAGATCTCGAGGGAGAAGCCGGAGGAGGAGAGCTATATAGGTACAGGAAAACGCATCACGTGTGGTAATATGTCACGTGGTTTAACTGTCCCGCAAATTTTCACTTAGTCGTTCAAGTTTAAGTAATATAAAGGTTTCGCGATTTTCCAATTTCGGGTTTTATCAGCTAGACCGTTACCCGCCTCAGTATCTTAGAGACTATGGTCGAAAATCATTGGGAGTTAAGTCTTGACCTATCGGCAACTACAACCACATATCCACGAAACCTGTAGCCTCGTCAAACCTTTATTCTTTCCTGCTGCCTAAAATCCCTTTATCACCAGATACCTTGTGTACAACCAACCCGCAAACTTAGCACATCATCCTTTCCTCTTTTCAAGTCATAAATTCTCGAGTTCATGTCATGGCCGAGGTTCTAGCCGTCGTTGCAAGTGGTGCAGGGCTGGCATCTCTCGCGATCCAACTCGCAGATGGGATCGACAGGCTACGGAAGCGCTGCGAGAACTTAGAAAAGCTTCGCGATAACATCGGCACTCTGATCGAAGATCTTGAAATTATCGTTGAGCAGTTGCACAACCTTGAGGGAGATCAAAGCGAGATATTGGAATTCATGGCCGTCCCAACAGCCCTTGGCCGGTGTCAAGCAGGCTGTGAGAACGTGATCAGAAGGCTGGAAACGCTCATCGCAGGGATTCCCAGTACGTCCTCTGGAGGGTCGAAGACACGAATACTACGAACACTATTCAAGTCGAAAAAGTTAAAAATTGAATTCGACGAGCTGAGGAGTGCGGTACATGGCCTCCAATTGAATTTTATTGGGTGGGTTTCATCACCTTTGGCCCAAGTGATGCTTTTCAAGCGCTGATTGAAGACATTCAGGATCCAGTGTTTTCACCAGAGAGCATTCATGCAGAAGCGTATGCTCTCGGTAAGTACTCAAAGAGATGAGACGCTTGGCAAAAACATCACATCTTCAACTGAAGCCTCCACAACAAACCTTGAGGTAGACAAAAACGACTCCCAACTAATGCTAGAAACTGTTTCAAATGAGCCATTCTGGCGATCAAGACGGCAGCGCCTTCAATGTGCAGTGTTACAATGTCACTGCTCCTGCCACTTCACTAAGCAAATCAGCAGCAGGTTCTGGTACATTCATTACAGTCCATTGGCCCATATATTGAAAAACTGCGACACTGTAACATGCACGGCTCGTCGTCATCGCCTTCAGTTTCGAGTCGCATTATCTCAACTTGGAATCCCATGGGCAGTAATACTGGGAGTAAATCTAACCCTGGAGGTCGGAAAGTTCACACTCTATCCCGACCTACAATTGCAGAGAGTTGTTAAGTACACCTCTCCGGGATTTGAGATTCTTTGGAAACTTTCCGAGGAACAATTGGGTTGGGATGATGCAGAAGCACAATTCAGAGAACTTTACCGAACGGATCCAACTTTTTGTAGCCAAGTTGATCCTAGTGGACGCGGATATCTGGAGGTAGGTGATAGGCTTTTTCTTCTCACCAACTCTTCCATTCCCTTGTTATCATCTCTCTAATATTGAAACGTATTACAGAAAGCTATGGAAGCTTTGGGATGGGTCATGGAAGGCGGCAGCAACTTCGACAACCTACTTCGAGTACTACAACTCTTCGTCAAGGAGTTCAACATGTCTCTAGGTCTGGAAAGTTCTGAGTATGCCTGGTTCTATCCTTCTTAATAGATGCGACTGATAAAATTGCTAGATTTTTGTACGCTTCCGCTTCTCACAACTCGGAAGGTTGGCATCTTCACGTCCTAGAGAATGTTCTAGAGATTGGCTACGACTTCGACAATTCCCCGGCTCCGCAATTTGAATCATGGCCCAGGCCTTGCGCAGATAATCTAGGAGGAGAATTCTCAATGCCTCTTATACCGCAGGACCCATTCTTCATTGAATATCTCAGCGCAATCGTTCGTACTAATCAAGGTAATAATCTGTTTCAATATGTGATTGACCTTGTTCTAAAGCATGATTTGCAGACTTTGGGGGAACTACCCCCCTACACCAAGCCATCCTGCATGGTTCCATGAAATCTGTCAGGAAATTAATTCAGCAATCTCACCCCCTAGAGGATAATGTTAACTTTCTCGGTCAAACGCCACTACACATTGCCATTCGCAGTCCTTCAAGACTTAAAGCTCTTCTGGATGCAGGACACGATATCAATGTCCGTGATAAGAATGGTATCACTCCTCTCATGTATGCCGCTGCGACAAATCGACCAATAGCCGTTTCCATCCTGATCCGTCGAGGTGCAGACTTGTTCATGCATGATGATTTGGAGAATTTTGATTTCATCACGTACGCTGCTGTAAGGAACCATTGGTTCTTAATCTGGCATGCACTTGGAGTTATTGAATCAAGAGATCCAACCCTTCTTTTGAGCGCCTTCTCCAGGATCATTTCTGGTCCAAGGCCTCCTCTATTCTTGGAAGAGGGCAGAATATGGACAAAATTATTCATATTAAGTGTTTTGTCAATGTTGTGCAACATTAATTTTCAATTTGAAGATGGGAGAACAATGATGCACGTTGTTGATCTACCTCAATATGCACATATGATGATTGAGCATGGCTTCACGGCATTGAATGAGCAAGACAAAGAAGGCGAGCACTCACTCTTTGCGGTTACCAAATTTCTCGATGTGGAACTTGCTCAGCGTTTAATCGAAAAAGGAGCCAATATCAACTTGAAGAACCACAAAGGCCATGGTGTTCTCTCTCAATTCCTTCAAAAATTAACTGCACCAAGAGAGAAAGAGTGCAAGGAGGTATTGGAGTACTTGGATATGCTTCTTAGAAACGGTGCCGATGTCGTTTCGACAGATAATTGCTCTTGCGCTTGCAGTTCTGGTGGGTGTTTACCAATATCCAGACTTAGCTTCAAGCTTCAAGTGCTTTTTCACAGAATTAACAATCCATGTTGGGTTTTTGAATGGCTGTGTTTGCTAGAAGATAGCGGGAAATTGGTAGAGGCAAAAACGAACGCGTTATCCGTATTACGTCGAGCCAAGTTCGACCAGACAAATCTTGTCCATACATGCTGCCGCTTTGGGGCCAGCAGGGATCACACCCTCAGCGGCGATAAATTCTGGGACATTTCAAGCGTAATAAAACTTGACCGGCTGGATGATGAGATGAAACTGTGGGAATCCAAAGGATACGATGAGATTATATCCGAACTAATAGTACAATTGGGCAAGCAGTTCACCGAGGCAAGTGGATCTATTTCAAGAGAGATACAGGCAGAACAGCCATTTCAGAATGAAACCGTTAAAGTGAGTACCACACCAAACTCTTCCCATTAGTTGTAGCTACAGATGTGTTCTCACACTTGGACTAGGGCGCGGACACCCCACCATATGAAATAGATTATACAAACGATGAGTTTCATTCTCGTTTCGATTTGTTTTTTCGATCCTTTGAAACTCCAGGTTCTCTACGTGAACTGGGGTTATTGGAGATTGAAAGAGACTACAGTAACGAGTGCTTCGTGGAATATGTTTCCCGTTTGGAATCCGCTCGAAATGGTGATCTCTCTGGGAGGATGGTCTTCTTAACACGATTATCAAGTGCTTTAAATCTTCCTTTCGGACGATAAGTTCTCTGGCGGCTTTTAGAGAGATGTAATGGGGAATACCTACAGTCTGAGGGACTCATCTTGACACCTATGTTAGTATCGTAAAGCGCCCTTTGCTCTCACGGTTTCTCAGGGTTTAATACTTAGAGCTAAGGACATGAATTTGTTCGCCAGGCTCTCCATAACATGTCTGACAGGATCTTGGAAAATGGCATATACTAGAATACGGGCTTAACCACCCCTAGCTGATCTGATCCAGCTAACCCGTTGCCAAGCAATGTATAGCGTGAGAAGGCTATTGACAACAAAGACAAAACTCCCCCTCACTACCCACATCTGTAAAACCCCATGCAAACCCACCCCCCCTCGAGCAGGAAACGCAAAACCTCGACATATTAACACCCTGTCGCTGTCCCCTCCAGAATCAGATCTCTGAGTGGACTAGCGCGCTAACAATTAATAGCTAAGTAACACGGCTGTGGAGCTGCAGAGCGTGTGCTCAAGGTGTCTTGTCTCAGGGGCTGCCCAGGAACTGCTCAGGTTGCTTAGACAACGTACTCGTTAGGTGAGCTGGTTGAGCCGACGGGGGGGGCAGAACGTGATTAGCTCCTGAGTAAGAGCGGTCATGCTTACCAACCGAATGTGGTACGAAAATTGGAGGATTAGAGTTCAACTACTGCCAGAGTCAGGAAATCCCTTAGTGCTTCAATAATGCGGAATCGACCACACAGTTTAATAGTACCCCGGACGATCTTGCAAGAAATATTCGTTGCACGCCTATAAGCCGAACGAAGGCGCATGGTTATGTGAGAGGTCGGATATGTTACGTCAAGGAAGTGATAAGACAGAGAGCTTAAAGAAGGTCAACTTCGATGGTCAGTGGCCAGACCTCAATAAAGGCATTCTCAGCCGCAAAGTTCTCACAGCGATGGTTCGGATACAACTAAGATATATTTTCAACCAATTCCACCCAGAAGACCAAGTTTTATCTACAGCACAATCTTCCAAATGCTATTCTAGACCTTTATGGACCATGTGTGACTTGGGTGTTGTTGGGAAGGATAAGAGGAAATTACGTTTTGAGACGTTAGAGATGGCAAAGTCAGGTCTCCCGTCGAAAATCTCTATTTCTGCTCAGAGCCCAAAAGTCCGATCAGCTATTGGGGGAGTCAGAAATGGACAGTAGCAGAACGCTGGACATTCCCAGCCCAAGAATTTAGCTGGCTGCTGAAATCTGCCCAGGAAGTTTGCAGAGCCCTCCCAAATTGCCACCAGTGCAGTGTAACTATTGAGGAGAACGGTTTGATATTATCCGTCTCCAGCTCCACGAAAGTTGGAGATCTCGTTTGCCAATTTCGAGATTCAGATATCATTGCACCAGTCGAGGTTACTGCGGATGTTATCGTTTTCGGATGAAGCGGGCTCTCAACTTTGTCCCATCCCGACCTAGAGTTGCAGCAGATATCTGTGCAAGGGAAATGACATTCGGTGGAGCAAATCCATATGCTTTCGCACTTGAGATAAATTCATTGGCTTTGTTGACGCTTTGCCAGTTTCAAAATCAGTTGACTAAGCCGGACGGTGAGGAGCACAAGGAACGAAATTCGTCCCCACAATACCAATTAGATCCCCATACAATCTTCTAGTGAAATGCAAAAGCAAACAAAACATACGCCTAGGAGATGACGATTCCTAAAATCATTGATCGACACCGAACGCCGGACCGAGTCCCCGAACAGAGACCATCTCACCGTCCTTGAAACACAAGCGAGAGCATCAATAAACCGAGGCTGCTGGATCTGGGAACTTCGACTTCCTTCTCAAAGAAGAGGCGAGGCAGAGAAAGGGGGAGAATAATATCCAATGTGCTAGCAGATTCCCTCTACTTTCTTTTTCGAGAACGCTAACCAACGGGACGAAGCTCAAATTGCCTCGATTAGAGGCAATTGGATACAAGTTCTCGACCGCTAGGGCTGAGTGCGGTACGCGGATCCGCTTACAAGCCATCACTAATTACAATCTCAATTACTCAACTTTGAAAGAGAGGGTGGAAAGAAGAAAGAACAAGAAAAAGACATGTCCCTCAAGGCCACACCGACGACGCTGATCAATTGGAGGTGGCACACTGAAGAGCACCCAAATCCACATACACAGACAGTGGCACATTCACACGCTCGCTCACCCAACCTTAACTCCCACTAGATATATTTTGGAACATTGCTTGTTTGCTTGCCTTGGCTATAGACGAAATCTATCAGGATATACGGCCCTACATTTGCACCGACCAATGTATTCCCCCACCCCCCTCCTCTCCTCTCCCCCCCGCCCCTCAAGAGATCCAGAACCCACCCCCCCACAATATAAACAAAGAATAACGCGCCTGCCTGCCTGCCTGCCTTGCCTATGCGCCGTCCCCCCACCCCCACTTATGCTTCCCATCAGATGGTTTCCATTTCCAAAACATTACCTTCTCCCGCCCCTCCTCTTCTCACAAATGACTGCCTTCAGAATCGAAATAGATAAAAAAAAGAAAAACCAAAAAGCAGAGAGGTCCCGGTATCAAATTCCCAACTCGCACGCTAAACTATCAATCTGACCCGACAAATGAAATCCAAAACTCAAAATGCAGTCCAATTCCAACAAAACAAAAATAAAAACAAAAGAAAAGTGAAGTAGAGTTCGGTTCCATCATCCACATGCTCGCATCCCCTTGTTCGAGACAGACAAAACCCAATCTTGTGGACTGGGAAAAAGACGTGTCTCCCTGATCCCTCTGCAGCGCCATCATGTTCTCGCCTCTCCATCAGACCAACCCCCCTCCCAGAACCAGTTCTCAGATAAGGCATACAAGAAAAGAGAAGTCCCGAAAAGATCTAACAGAACACCGCAAGAAGACAGAAACAAAAAAAACAAAATAAAACAAAAGGTGCCCCAAAGATTTCCGCCCATACCATTTCATATAAATTGTCAATCCCAAGGCACGGGATGATCGCCGAAGCTCGGATCCATTGGAATGGTCAATCGGAAGAGCAGCCAGCTTCGTTTGTTCGTTTTCATTTCATTTCGCATATCGATATTAGATTGTTTTCAAGATTGCTCTTTTGCCGTAAGGCTTTTTATCTGCGTGTTGATTTGGGAGTGACGGTCAGAGTACACAGAGGTGATTACATGACGACGCATGCTTCGGGCTCAGCTTTTTTAGTGCCTGCACTGGTCAGCGTTTGGATTTCTTTTGGAAGAGGGGATGACTGTGGCTTACCTTTTCCCGCCGACCTGCCCCCTTTCTTGTCTCCTGCCATCCAAGCTAAGACCCCCCCTTTTGTGTCCCTTTTATTGCTCCCTGACCTGCGCTCTTTTGGCGGGCCTCGTGACAGGTTGACGATCACGGGCGCTCCACCGGGGGCCTCTCGGCCACTTGGTGGTCGCAGTGGTGGTCCTCCGGCCCAACCCGGGGGCGGAGGGGGAGGCCCAGGGCCTCCTCGCATTTGAGAAGGCGGCATACCAGGACCAGGACCTCCCCTATGGCCGGGGTGACGCTGACTGTGTGGTCGCCCCCCATGCTCTCGGAAATGGTGGCCAGGCGGCGGGCCTGGCATCCCCGGATGCCCATGTTTAGGAGGCTCTGGCATGGGCCACATGTGCATAGAAACAGACCAGTCAGGCTCGATTGTTGTCTCCCAAACTCGGGGGAGGATAATCTCCCCGTTTGGTCCGATCAGATCGTAGTGGCCCTCTGCAACATGTGGACCGAGACCTTCAACATGTAGGAAAGCTTGTCGTATTAATTCCTCCATTCCCTATCACAATGTTAGCAAAGCGCAGCAAAGCAAAACATCCTTTGTACTCACAGCCCAAGTCGCACACAACTCGAATGGGAAGCTGAATTTTCGCCCAACAGCATCCTTGAACTTAACAGGCTTCTTCTTATCAACTCCAGGTGGCGCAAGGGCCTTTTTCAGTGCTTCAGCAGCTTCCTTCGCAGCCTTGTCGGCCTCCTCCTTGAGCTTCTTGGCCTCTTCGGCGGCGTCTTTCTTGACTTTCTCCAGTTCATCAATAGCTGCCTTCTTGGCGGCAGCTTCTGCAGCTTCCGCTGCGGCCTTCTCCCTTTCCTTCTCCGCGTCCTTCTTTGCCTTCTCAACACCCTTCGCCATTGCTAACTCCCTCTCTTCCTTTAGCTTCTTCTCCCACGCATCCTTTTCCTCCTTTATCTTCGCCTCTTGCGCAGCCTTCTCTTCAGCTGCTTTCCTTTGGGCGGCCTCAAATTCCACCAGTGCTCGCTTCTTTTCATCCTCTACTTTCTTTTCCCACGCTGCCTTCTCCTCAGCAGCTTTCTTTGCTGCTTCCGCAGCTGCCGCAATGGCGTTTCGTTGAGCTTGCTCAAAATCGGCTAGGGCTTGCTTCTTCTCCTGCTCCACCTTCTTTTCCCATGCTGCCTTCTCCTCGGCATCTTTCTTTGCTGCTGCCGCGGCTGCCGCAGCAGCTTTTCGTTGAGCTTGCTCAAAATCGGCTAGGGCTTGCTTTTTCTCCTGCTCCACCTTCTTTTCCCATGCTGCCTTCTCCTCGGCATCTTTCTTTGCTGCTGCCGCGGCTGCCGCAGCAGCTTTTCGTTGAGATTCCTCAAAATCGGCTAGGGCTTGCTTTCTCTCCTGCTCCACCTTCTTTTCCCATGCTGCCTTCTCCTCGGCCGATTTTCTTGCAGCCTCCATTGCTGCCCGTTCCGCCGCCTCCTTTGCATTCCGGTCGTCCAACTCCTTCTGTGCCTTTGCAGCCTTCTCCGCCAATGCTTTTTGGGCCTTTTCGATTTTGTCCGCCATCTCTTTTGCCTCCTTCTCAGCCTTGTCCGCAAGTTCTTTTTGGAGTTTGTCGTATTCAAGCTTTTGTCTTTCCATCAGCTCCGTAACAGCTTGCAGCTTCTTCTCGGTCTCTGGATCTGGGACTGCAACTACGGAACCCTCGCTTGGTGGCCAGGCAGGGTAGTGTTGCATATTGTGCCCGCCCATCCCGCCGCCATAAGGCCCGTATCCTCCTCCTCCATAACCAGGATTTGGAGGATATGCCATCATGTCATGGCCTGGGTACCCACCTGGTGTGCTGTGACCAGACATGGGATGATGGGGAGCTCCAAAATAGCCAGCGCCTCCACCCGGACCGGGGGTTGGCTGAGGGGAGAATGGATTCCCACCCGGATACTGACTGTACCCTCCTTGAGCTCCATAGTGGGTCAATGCGCCTGGGGCTGCAAAGGGAGGCGCATATGGCCCTGGCTGCGAATACGCACTCTGGGCATAGCCTGGCAGAGGCATCCTACCACCATAGGGCCCAGGCTGTGGTGCAGGATAGCCTCTGCCATAGCCCGGGAAGTCGTCGGGATCCACGCTTGAGGGTGGTGCCGGCACAGGATGCCGATGAACACGCGAGGCTGGCGGACGTCGATTTGTTCGTTCGGTGGTGGTATGCCTCCGAGTTGGGGCTCGTGATGCGGGAGGAGGTCGACTTCGGCTTGAACGGTCTCGATAGCCTGTGTTGGAGGTAGGAGGCCGAGAGGCTGAATCGCTTGGATCTATCTCACTGGAAACACCTTCCCAAGATTCGTCTGACTGGTTAGATTCTTCGTTACTGCCAGCGGGTGAAACGTGGACGCCGGTACCTGAGCTTCCTTCGTCGAACGAATTGGATCGAGAATCAGAGAGCGAACTGGTCGTTGGACTTTGGTGACTTTGGTGCGTGTCGATCTGGAGGTAATGTGTTAGCAATTGGTCTCTGACCAGGGGGGTTCAAATCGAGTGTGAAGTATGGGCATGGGCGTTGTAGGATAGCTGGCCTCGACTGGTCGTTCCGCAAAGTGTGAGGCCAGAGCGAGGGGTAATCTTACAGTGATCCTCGTGCTGCTTGGGCGGGAAAGTTAGCTAGGATGGATGCACCGTTTGCGACAAAAGCATAGCGGAGGAGAGATTGGGGGGGGGGACTCACGTCATTGGAAATGATTGTGTTCAAGGAATTTCTCGCTCACGACAATTCTGCCAGAGAAAAGTCGGAGCTTGAAAGTTTCCCTTGCGTGACTAAGATGGAGGGAAGGGCGACCGCCCTAGATGTTTCGCAAGGCCAAAACCTGCGAAGCCGCCTGACTGTGGCGGATGTGTGCTGCTTGCTGGTGGGGTGTGTATATGGTGGATTGGTGTCGCTGGCAGAGCAGGGAGGCTGCGGAGGGCTTGTTGCTGTGTTTTGTGTTGATCGAGGCGGAGATGGTGGTGGTGGTGTTGATTTTCGAGCGGTCGAAGGCTCGGGAGGAGCGAGGGCTGCGGATGGCGAGTGAAGCGTGGGTGGGCCAGGCGTCGAGCGAGAAGAGTCGAGTTCGCGACGGCGAGTGCTGCTCCTGCTGTGCTGTGCTGTGCTGTTAGAGAGGCAGATGCACGATTTACACGATGTGCGTGCTTCTCTTTGCTGGTTGTGGGTGAGGGAGGAGTGAGAGCGTGAGTGTGTGCTGGTGGTGGTGGTGGTCGAGTGGTGGTCGAGTGGTGTCGAAATTGGGCTGAGCAAAGGGAGGAGCGGTGCGGTGCGGTGCGGTGCCGGCCCAGGTGCGCAGGCCAAAGCAGGCCAAAAGCAGGCCAAAACTAGCGTGAACTGTATTATTGGAGAGTCGAGGTTAGTGGGTGGTGCTGAGAGGCGAGAGGAAGAGGAGAGGAGAGGAGAGGAGGAGAGGCCAGGAGAGGCGAGAGGGGAGGCGAGGAGAGTGAGTGGTGAGAGGCGAGGAGTGGCGAGTCGTGAGTGGTCGGGCTGTGACAGGCGAAGCGACAGGCACAAGCACAGCACAGCACAGCACAACACAGCACAACACAGCACAGCTCACACAACACAGCAGCACAAGCACAAGCAAGCACATACGGATGAATCATTTATCCACCAGGATTTATTTTGCATGCCGCGCGCGCACTCGCGCAACTCCCAGAGCAGAGCAGAGCAGGCCAGACAGAGCAGGCCAGACAGCCCAAACAGCCCAGACAGCCCAGACAGAGCAGAGCAGTACAGGAGCACATCCCCTTTTCACGCGCCGGCGCCAGAGGGGATCTCCTGCATTACTCCGCACCGGGAGCTGCCAGACGGGGGGCCCCATTTGCAGGGAGACCAAACATCTCGCAGATGATCGACCTGGCCAACAACGCTCCTCGGCAGGCATAACATTGAATATGAAAGGGGGTGATGTGAACATACCTTGGCCTATTCGGGTCGAGGGGCTCCTGAAACGCCGTGTGGGTTCGAGCGTGGCTTTCTAGAAAGGCGGCAGAAGGGGTCAAGGAGGCCCCGTCCAGATTGTGCGACAGGTTCGTAACGTGTCCCAGCAAAGCGCTCGTCTGCAGGGGCTGTCAGATACAAGTAGACGATGTCGATGCCGTGCCCGCTGCGATGCTTGGGATGAGATGGAGATCCGGCGAGGTGAGTGAGGTGAGTGAGGTGAGTGAGGTGTGGTGTGGTGCTGGTGCGGATGCGGACGGCGACCGAGGCGAGGGGATTGTTTGCTCCCCTTTCTGCCGCGTGCGCGTGGTGGATGGATCAATTATATTGCGGGTGAGCGTGCTGATGAGGCTGCACGCGTTGGGCCTGGACGAGAGCCAATGTTGATTATTGACGTTGGTCCCGGATGGCAAACTTTGGGCGCAGCGGAGCGTGAAGCGTGAAGCGTGCAGCGTGGGCAGGGGCGTGAGTCTGCTGCTATTCGCTGCCCTGTTCTGCCAATGATTCTGAAGGCTTGCCTAGGCGTAATGCTGGACGGCGGGTAAGATTTCTTTTTCTCCTGGTCCTGGGCTCCTGGACTCCCGGGTTGTTAAAAGAAGAATAAAATGTGTGATGTGGGAATATTGAGAGACCAAAGTCAAGATTCAGTATGCCGGGAAAAGAAAGGCTCTGGCTCTGGCTCAGGAAGGCTCTGCTTCTTCCCTCAACGGTACAGCTTTGTCTTGTGACCCTTCTGCTTGTGGCGATGCTTGGGTGAGTGGTGCATGTTCAAGAAGGTCTCCCAGAGGTTCGGCTGGCCTATGGGTTGGAGCACAGCAAATCTTGCGGCGAGCTGCCTGTGTTTTGTACGAGCGAGATGCGATGGATGCTTTGGTACTCGGCGGATTGCTAGCTGTCATGTGTCTGCCTGCTTAAGGCTGATCTCATCTACATATACATAGGCAGTTGGCCTCTCTTAGGTTTCAGAAACTCCTGTGCTGTCAATGACTCCCCCCTCCCCCAAACATCGGACAACTGCATCATCCACCTTCAGCCAGAAGAAGAGCCGCTGCCGCAAATGCGCCTCACCGCCGGTCGGATTGTTAGGCGCAGTTGATGCCTGAACGAGTCCAATGGCGAGCCCAACTTGCCCAACATCCCGTGATTGGGCAAATCGCTCCCACGAAACGCTTCTCAGAGTGCCACGATCCCAAGGTCTGGCCCACTTTGGTTGCTGGCTGAGCTCTCCCATCCAGGAAACACGAAAATTGCGATTCGAGGCTGGGTCTGACATTCCGAAAGCGGATCATAAAAATTTTGTTCCTTGCATGTTCCACCCGCCATTGGAGCTCTAGAATCTGTCAAAATCCAAGGCCTTTGGGACTCCCGTGAGATGCGAAATTTCCTCCCCTCTGACCCGGCCAACCACCCATTTCAGCGAATACTCTTGGCGGCCCCTGAATCAAGTAGTGCCTTCGCGGCGATCACTTCGGCGTTCTCATAACCCTCCCAACCAGACTCACCACTCACACTCCGCCGGACGATCTCAGAGAGCTTGGCAGTTGCGGTCTCATTCAAACGCTCGACGGTCTTGATGTCTGGTATTGGCAGCCCGGAATCTGACTTTGACTGGCGGGATGCTTGTGGCAGGGACGTCAGGAGTTTGTTGGTAGTCTGTGATGTGTCAGACAAATGCCATTGCAAGCTGTGCTAGATGTACATACCAACTTCAATCCATAATACCCACGCAAGTAATCATCACAGAGTTCGATACTTCGACAGAACCTTCTTAATGCTTCCGCAAGGTACTTGTCTGTTGAAGTATCTCCGGACGAGCCGGCCATAAATAGTACCTCGCCTAGACGAGCATGAATCTGGAGTCAGGGGTCAGTACTGGTTCCTACGGACACGTAGGAGCATACTGACATTCCATGCATATGGAGTGATCAATAAGACCTCTTCCAGAGCAAATATTGCCTGCGGGTACATGCCTTGCGTGACATACAAATCCGCCAACTCTGCCCAAGCCTCTGCATCGGTAGGGGACGAATCCACAAACTCGTTGAGGGCAGTAATGGCTTCGGTGGTCTTGCCTAAGGTCTTCAACAGCGCGATTCGGCGCTTCGACACGGGCTGATATCATTAGCAAAAGCCCAACGTCCGCGTCTCAGGACACCGACCATATTGCTTGGATCCTTGGTCAGGATGGTTTCATATTCCTCCAATACCTGCTTCAACGTTGCGTCATCTTTCGCAATGGCTTCCTGAAATAGTCCTCTTAACGCCATCAACCTCTCGTTCTCTGCGCCGAACCTCTCGGTAAGCCGCTCCAGGCACACACCCGCCGATTGTTCATCTCCAGTTCGTAGGCAAGAGAGCATGAGATTTTCATATTCTGTCCATAATTCTGGAGTCTCTGCAGCGGACCAGAGCGTGGTGAAGGAGTAGGAAGAGATTACTGATGGAGTGCTTCGTAGGGTTACTGGAGCTTGCTGCGAGAGCTGGAGAGCGACGGCTGGGGGGAGGTGCGCTGGTGGATGGGACAATGAGGAGCTCATCTTGCCGAATTGTGAGGTAGATAATTGACGCGAGAGGGTGTAGACGATGCAATTCGTGAATCTCGATTAATGGAAGCTGGAGAAGTCGAAGGTTGTTCTCGGGAGCTGCCTCAAATGAAGCTTAGTCAGCGCCGCCCTAACGCCAAGGAGTGCTGTTTTAACTTCCCTCGTATGCCATCGCGACTTGGTGGGGGAGAAGTTGCGTATCTGCATGACCGATCGTGAGCACACAACATCCTTCACTATGCCAGTCTGAGAATCTCTTGTTGGACTTGGATGGTCGGATACCAGTTCTGGGTCTACAATATGCCATTAGCGCATCTGTAGGAATCCTATCACCTGTTTTCCTACACGGACGGCCGACTCGTTGGACAGGAGCTCCAAGATGTGCGCAATTCTTTCCCTCGCGCCGAACAGCTTCCCCTCTGACTGCGTGGCAGGTTCGAAAAGTCCCTGTATGACCTCATTCGAGGTCTGCGCAACCACAAGGGGAACGAGAAAGAGTATATCCAGAACAGTCTGAAAGAATGTCGCGCAGAGATCCGAGGGCAGGACATGGGTGAGCGAGCCTGGGATATGGGATGAAGGCAAGACTGATAGAAACATGCAGACCTGAAGGCCACTGCTCTCCTGAAGCTTGTCTACCTCGAAATGTTCGGTCACGACATGTCCTGGGCCTCCTTTCACGTCCTCGAAGTTATGTCCTCCGCCAAATACCTTCAAAAACGAGTGGGATATTTAGGGGCGGTTCAAAGCTTCCGGCAGGATACAGAGGTCTTGATGTTGGCTACAAATCTTTTGAAGAAGGTACAAGATTTGTGGAAAATCCCTCGAACAAATGCTAAGCTGGCCTAGGACTTGACTTCAACCTCAATACAAACAATGTCTCTCCCGATCATAACGTTACCCCACGTCATCACTCCTTCGTTGGCTCTTTCAGTACTCTCGGATCTCCTCCCTCGATTAACGCATTCCCATCCTGCGATACGCAAGAAAACGATTGTCACATTGTACCGCTTGGCTCTTGTCTACCCAGAAACTCTACGGCCGGCATGGCCCAAAATAAAGGAGAGGCTGATGGACGAGGGTGAGGACCCAAGCGTGACTGCTGCAATTGTGAACGTGGTATGCGAACTTGGTTGGCGGAGGCCTCAAGACTTCCTTCCTCTGGCTCCAAGGTTATTCGAGTTACTTGTGGACAGTGGAAATAACTGGATGGCTATCAAGTTGATAAAACTGGTTAGCGGCGAGCCAGTCGTTGAAGTGAAATGTGTGCTGATAGGAAGCAGTTTGCAACCCTCACTCCTTTGGAACCACGACTAGTCCGAAAACTATTACCTCCACTGACCAATATCATTAAAACTACGCTCGCAAGGTCGCTCCTATACGAATGTATAAATGGCATAATTCAGGGAGGGATCCTAGACAGTACTGATGATTCTATTGGCGGCGAGGAAATTGCAACTCTCTGTGTCAGCAAGTTACGAGAAATGATAATGGTAGAGGACGATGCAAATTGTAAGTCTCGTAGCTTTGACATTGAGACTCGCTCACTGACAGTATCCAGTGAAATACGTTGCGTTGCTTGCATTCAACAAGATTGTCCTCACGCATGCCTATCTTGTTGCTCAACAAGAAGATGTCATTATGGAATGTATCGACAGTCCTGACATCTCAATTCGATTACGAGCTCTGGACCTTGTGGTGGGTATGGTCAACAGCGACAATCTGATGTCGATTGTCGGCCGCTTGATGAGGCAACTCAAGAATTCTCGACCAGCAACCGCTGAGGAACTGAATCACCGACCTACGCCTATCGAACCCACAGCCGATTCGGATGACGAATCTCCCGAGGTTGCCATCAAAACGAATAAGAATGCCTCTGAAGCTCCTCTCCTTCCAGATGACTACAAAATAGATGTCATTAACAAAGTCTTGAACATGTGTTCGAGTAACAACTACAGGAATCTGGTGGACTTTGATTGGTACATTGACATTCTCATACAACTTGTTCGAAGTGCGCCTGTTCCGAACTCGTCTTCTTTATCAGACGAATCAAACATGGGACGGAAAGAATCGTCTAATATCGACGTCTCCGAGAGAATCGGAGATGAGCTACGACTCGTGGCAGTGAAGGTGAAAGCTCTTCGATCACAGGCAACAAGAGCCGCAGAATCGATACTTATTTCGACTTACAATGACAATTCGTCCCAACTCACTTCTGGAAGTGGCGTCTTACGAGCGGTGGCCTGGATGATCGGAGAGTACGCATCATGTTTGACGTCGCCAGACGGTACTTTGACTGCGCTCTTACAGCTTACAAAGACCTCAACGGCAGCCGAAGCACTTATCATTTACTTACAAGCGTTGCCAAAGATACTTTCGTTGATAGCAGGCGATGATCAGATGGCTTGGACACCTGAACGGAAAACCGTGACTGCACTGCTCATGGCTCGCGTAATCCATGCTCTGGAGCCCCTCGCAGTACATCCTGACCTTGAAGTCCAGGAGAGAGCAGTTGAGTTTTCGGAGCTTCTCAAGCTGGCTGCGGAAGCGGCATCTGGGCAAGAGACATCCACAGATGGCATACAACAAGATGCGCCTCTGCTTCTGACCCAAGCAATCCCATTTTTATTTTCTGGGCAGGAATTAAATTCCGTTGCTGTCGGTGCCCAAAAAAACGTCCCGATACCGCAAGGATTGGATTTGGACCAACCCATCAATGCAAATTTGGACAATCTGTTGAGAGCGGTTGAATCGACATCCTTTGGTGAACCTGAGCAAGATGAGTTTGAAGTTTACTATCACCAACAGCAACCACCGATGGCAATCAGTTCGGGTGAACCTGCCGTCAACAGACTTGGTGCGCGAGAAGAGCCTGTTCACTCCTATCAGCAAGGCACCGAGGAAAGCTACCTTGATCCCGATATCGTTGCTCGACGGCGGGCAGAACGAATTGAACGAAACAAGGATGATCCCTTTTATATCGCCCCAACAGAAGGCAAATCTGGCAGGTCGACTCCTCTTCATAACATTCTGCAAAGCAACAACGGACCAGATCTGGATATCGACTCGATACCGATTATGCAATTGGATCTCGGCAAGACCAGTCCGACCGGTCAACCTTCACCAAAGAGATTTTCGGCTCAAAAGCCTCTTCAGCGAATACAAGTTGCTGCAGACGAAACGCTCGCAACGAGCGGTACTTCTACGCCAAGATATGACGACTCAGAGAACAGTCTTGATGGACCACAGAGAGCAAAGGCTAAAGGGAAATCTCTCTTGCAGGTTGACTCGAGCCATATCGGAGCCTTCTCACTTGAAGGTGATAGTTCGAGTGGCCCTCTGGATTACGAGCGTCAACAAAGAGAAGAAGCCGAGATGGCCAAGGCGATGCAAGAAGTGGAGAGGCTGAGGCTCGAGATGCAGAGAGCGAATGAGCGCATACAAGCTGCTCAAGGGGTGGAAGGAACCGTGGTCAAGAAAAAGAAGAAAAAGGCCAAACCCGCTGAAGCCGAAGCAGAGGGCGGGGAAGCCGTGACTATTGTGAAGAAGAAAAAGAAAGCGAAGCCAACTATCATGGATGAAGGGGGAGTAGAAGGGTCCATGGCCACAGAGGTTATGAAGCCTAAGAGGAAGAAAAAGAAGACGAAGATCGATGAAAGTGGACCGCAAGGCCTCGTTGATTCAGGAGCATAAGTGGTTGGGGCATACTCGGCGCACGGAGCATTGGAAGGCAGGGTTGCCAATGTGGGATTGTCAAGTAGACATGGGGTTCTGATGTATATAGCAAACTACACATTGGGCAGGGCTTCGAGTCCTGCTGCTTCAGATCAAGAGAAAACTTGCATTCAAGTGTCAACATGAATGCATTGTCCATCGAAATCAGAGACAGTCAGGGGCCTCAGATCGAGGGGCAGTCACGGGCGATAAGTAATTCCTTATCGCCTGAGGCGCTAAATAAATTTTTAGGCTTTTTCCTCCGCCATTTCATTTTCGAGATCAACTTCAACTTCGCCTCGACCAATGCATTGTGACCAGCACCCCTATTGAAGATGGAGGAACCAGCAAACTTCATACCCCTTGGCTTGGGCCGAGGCAGCGAACGAAGAGCCTCCACTTCTACCTCTGCAAAAGACCGTCCCACTTCGATTTCTGCCCGTCCTTCGATCCTCGATGGACCGAAGATTATTGGGGCTACACCTGGTAAGCTTTCTCTCTTTCAATCTTTTAGAACTTGAATTATGTTGGTAGGGATTGTTGCTGATCGGGAGAAATAGCGGAGAGGAAGGTAATTGCGAGAGAATACCGACTTGCGGCCAGGAGAGTGAAGAAGAAAGCCAAAGCTGATGCGAAGAGAGCACGGAAGGAAAATGCGATCCTCCATCGACGACTGGTATGCTCTTCCCCGCTCTACGGTCCAAGACTTCAATTGACTTTTATACTTTTGCAGACCCGGAACAACGAGAAGTACACCAAGAACAAGGAGCGCAACAAGGAGCGAGACATCATGCTGGAGCGCCAGAAAATCCGCTTCGAAGCCGTGCGCCAGGCTGAACGATTAGCCGCCATCCACGATCCTACCGGCAAGATGTTCAACGTTGGTGAGGTTATCATCATGCCTGACGGACAAGTGAAGTCGAAAGAGGCGATCGAACGAGCTGCGGAAGCAAAGAAACAGAAGGAGATGGATGCCCTTGCTGAGAAGGCAGAGAATATACGCATCGCTGAGGAGAAGGCGAATTACAAGAAGGAAAAGCTTGCGGCGAAGAGAGAGGGACGAGAACCACCTCCGCGACCCGATTATGCTCCTAAACTTGCCCTTCAGAGTGCGGCATCGGTCTATGGTAACGGCGGTCAGCCAGCATACGGTGGTCAGCAGATGCGTAGTAATCAGCAAACGGGCACAAACGCGAAGCGCAAGATCAGCAAAAAGCAGCAGCAACGGCTAGAAATGCTCAAGCCGAAACCAGTCCCGCCGAAACCAGTTATTCCAGAGGGCATTGCTCTTCCGGAGGGTGAGGAGAACCTTCTTGAATTATGGGATATCACGGATGAGGAGATTGCTAAACGATTGAGGTCTAAGAAGAAGGAGAAGATCATAGCAGGGAAGACCCTTAGAAAGATCCAGAAAGAGCAGAAGAAATTCAACCGTGCTATGAAGGTCCGGAAGAAGCAGGCTGCCAACGCTGGTGTGATTTGGGATCCAGAGAAGGCGAAGAAGGAGATCCTGGGCGAGATGGAGAAGGCAGATTGGGGCGACGAGGATTCTTCTGACTCTGAATCCGAGTTTGAATCCGATGATGATCTTGAGGCTGAAGCCAATGGTAAGAATGGTAAGAAGGCTAGCTCTGACAACAACGAGGAGGATTCTGATTCAAGTTCTTCATCTGATTCATCGTCGGATTCGGATTCAGATGCTGACTCGGATGGTTCCCAAGCAGGCGAGGAAAAAGAGAAGCCCAAGAAGAAAAAGAAGAAGGGGATGCCGAAAGTCAATCGTCCGAGACTCGATCTTGAGCTTCTGGAGCAATCAGCCAAGATCAAGCAGGCGCTCGAGGACAAGAAACGCAATGCGAGATTGAAGCGACGAGCTGAGCGCAGAGAGAAGGCTGCTCAGGAGAAGGCTAAGAGGGAGGCAGAGGCAGAGGCGGCTAGGATTGAGGCTGAGAAGGCAGAGCAAGCCGAGCAAGCATCTGCTAGTGAGGAGAAGGCTACCAAGGAAAAGTCGTCTAAAAAGCGGAAGCGATCTTCAGAAGAGGAACCCGAGCAAAAAGGTAAGAAGACTAAAACAGACGATCTTGACTCCGAAGAGGAAGCCAAGAGAAAGGAGAAGAAGAGGAAGCGGAAAGAGGAGAAGAGAAAGCAGAAGGAGAACGTGGAGAAAAAAAAGGAGAAGGAGCGGCAAGCTGAAAAAGAGCTGCAAGCAAAATACCTCGCCAGCACAGCGGAAGTCAGATCTAAGGTCGAGAGTAAAGACGACAGGCTCGACAGGGAGATTGCCGAGCGGGAGGCAAGACTGAGGGCCGAGAATCAGGAGGCCGAGGAATCGGAAGAACCTCAGTATACGAAGGTTAGCCAGAACTGGAACCCGGATGCGTTGATGGGTGATAAGGAGAGGAGGGAAAAGTTCATGAAACTGCTTGGGGCGAAGAAAGCGAAGAAGGGGCCTAAAAAGACACCCAATGAGAAGGTCGAGACGGAAAAGGAGAAAGCTGCTAGAGAGAAGAAGGAGAAGTTGGCGGTAAAGGTTACTCAGCCAAACGTTGTTGAGAGAAAGGAGAAGAAGGCGGCGAGGAGAGCTGCGAGGAAGGCAGAAGAGCAGGCTGCTGCTGAAGCCGCTGCGGCTGCCGCCAAGGCTGAGCAGATTGCTAGGATGCAGAGCGATCTCGAGAACCAGTACGAAGCAGGCATGAAGTTAAAGCATGACGGTGGAAGCAAGAGACGCGGGTTGGGCGCTTGATTGAGCATTAAAGGTCCTACTTTTGTGTCGAGAGGATATTGTGGTTTGATTCCCCATTTGCATTGCAAGATTTTCGCCCTTTGTCACGGAGTATGGAGTCCTCCTTTACATGAACCAAAAAGGAAATGGCGAATGAATTGTGTACGGCGGCAAGGAATGGGTCGCAGACCAGAAAACGCCCGATTCCACCTTGTGAATATGTGACTTTTGTACACCTTCCTTCTGTCTATGTGGCCGTAGACGTGGTATCCCCGTCCGCCCTCGATTCTTGGAAATCCAGCTTACACTCCCCAAAATAGCTCCCAGCCTTGTTTCCCGGCTCCGAATTGCTCCCCATCCCCGAATATACTCCACTGTTCCAATCTCTCACCGGAGGAAGATCCGGCTCAGCAACTCGAATATCAGACCGCCAAAGACCACGAAACCAAGGAGACCTAGACATGATTACATTAGCCCAATTCTTCAAATCCTGCTCCGCTCTGCTCTCCGCCATCATCGCCCTCTGCCTCTGCATCATCCCCTTCCTCCCCAACAGTGTAAACTCCCCGCGCAAGGGGAAAGGGGAAGGACAACATACCCAACCAAAGGGGACTAATCGGGCTCTTAAAGTCCTCCTTCTTCTTGATCTCGCTGGCCGGCTTGCCACGCTTAGCATCCTGCGACTTCTTGAACTTCTCGTTCGCCTTGCGCTGTTGTGGTGTTTGCGCCTGCTTTCCATCAGCTCTGATCATCTGTCTTCCCACGTCCCCTTTCCTCGGGAAAGGTTAACTTACCATCGTGGAAGTTTGTTCTGGTATTCTAGTGGCAAAATTCGGAGTTAGAGGTGAATTGAGGCCGCGATGCTTGTGCGAGTGTCGATAATTAGAAGCGCGAAGTGGAAGGCGAAGGCGAACGTTGTGAAATGTCATCAATAATCACTTCAGTCCGAATTCCAATATCTGGCCCAAGGGTCCGGACAGATTTCCAAGTGGGGCTGGGGCTTGCCGTGTGCTTGGGACAGGACAGGATATGGAGGCGGGCGCTAGCGGGATTAAGGTTTTGGCGTGAACTCGCATGTTTCTTTTCATCCGAAGACTGAAGTGAACCACACGACAATTTCCCCTTTTCAGGCTTGAAGGCGAAGAGAAGTATTCAAGATGGTGTTTAGTGCTGGGAGACGAGCTGTGATGTTGGGACCAAGGCGGAATGGGGGAGGATGGAGGTTCAGCTCAACCGAAGCTCAGGGGCAGAAGCCTGTTTCTCCGCATGTAAGCTCTGCTCGACCTCTCTGTCCAATGTACCAGTCCCATCTGCTCTGCCATTACATCGAGAGCCCGTGACTGACAATCTGCTGCCTATCAGGTCGGATTCTACAGGACTTTCACGCGGCCCGTGGCCAAAGTCCTGCTGATGGCTACGTTCACATATCAATTGGCATATTGGGGTTGGGTGAAACTGGAGAAGGAAGAGATCAAGAGGAGTAGAAGTGGTGAGTAGTGTCCATTCAATGGATTGGGGGTGATGGCCAATGGCTGATGGGGAGGCAATAGCAGAGATTGAAGTGTTGGAGAAGCAGTTGGGTGATTTGACCAAGAAGGACGGGAAGCCCTGAACCGAGTAAAAAGGACACCAAATTCAAGGGCGGACAGGCAGAGCGGTTTTCCCCCGTAGTTCGATATCAGGCTGCTGTCTCCACGATATCTCGACTCCTGCTTCTCAACGTGCGTCCTTGTTGCCACAATCCAGCTTCGAGCAACGACAGAATCTTTCACTCCTCGACAAACATAGACCAGAAACTGGGCGTCTAAAGGGAGACTCCTGTTTCGAAAGCACACCTACCTCTTCCACAAGTACCAATGCCACTGGTTTGGGAGGCTTATTGGTTGTCATGGTGCGGGCGTTTCGAAAGTTTCTGCTCAACCTCCGACTTGGGCCTGGAATTGGCACATGGTATCTGGACTTATCAGGTCATGAGAGGTCAATGAAGGTTATGCTCTCGTTCCTGGTGGACAATCTTTGGTGCTACCAAAGACTCAATAAGGCTGTGTTGGAACAAAGCTCGTGGAGCCTGGAGGAACATTAGCACTTGCGTCAATTGGCATGTGGCGGAGTTTTTTGTGGCAGTTCCCTCACAGAATCCAAGTCACGGATTTATAATCAGCAATTGTGCATATCCTGTTTTCTGCACCTCTGGTTTGCAAGTGGTTCGAGTTTCCTCACACTCTCTTTCGATTTCCTAACACTGTTGCGTTGCGGCTAGCTTTGCACTTCAGGATCAATTGAACGCGCAAAATTGCAGCAAATCAAAAGGCTCAAATTCCGATCTTGGCTCTCCGATTTGCCGATTCGCTCGCTTAGGACTGCACGGTCTGGCCGCAGTGCAAAGGATAGCTAGTTTTGCAAATGCTTCGAGTGGAGCTTGTACTTCACACTTCTTTTGGGCGTCAGGTTCGACTTTGATCGACGGTCTCTTCATGGGCTATGTAGCACTGAGCATCCTTGTAGTTCTGCACAGCTGCAGGTTGAGTCTTCGCTGCTGTATATGCTTGCCTTGCTGGCATTGCTATTTTATCCAAAATGTCCACCACAAGTCTATTCTTCTGCCATATTATTATTTGAACACATGGCAGTTGTACATCTGTTGGTCCTTCAAAAGCTCAAAGAAGGTGATGTATGTGGGACTGCTAAGGTGGGGTACGGGGTAACTCGGCACACAGCTGCATGCTGGCAGCTGCAGATCTGCAAGCTATCCTGCTGGTGGGTAAGCGCTGCTGACAAACTCACAACACACAACTCTTCTTCTATTCATTCGATCGCGCTCATTTTTTCTCCTTTTATTTTATTGTTTTTCAAATTCAGTATATGTTTTTGGTGTGATCATTCTTCATTGAGGACTGCCTAACACACTTTTGCCCATAAATATGACCCCTCACGGGCTTTAGATAGAGTGCCTGGCCCAAACTCAGTTCCCCTCGCGAATGTCAACCGAAATCTCTGTTCGAATGGAAAAGGAGGTGCAGAATGCTACTCGTAGCACAGTCACAGCGCTAGCTGCTTTGTCTAGCAACAATGATTTGGATGAGAAGGTTCACAACGAAAACCTCGATCAATCACACAGTTCTAATTCTGCTTCTTCCAAATATCCGTTCGATACTCCGACCGTAAAAACTGTGGTCAATACCAATCATAGCAATGATCTCGAATCCGGCCAAGAAACTTCTTCCATCCAAGAAGAATCCGCCGAAGATGCCAACATCGTATCCTGGGATGGGCAGTCAGACCCCGAAAACCCAATGAACTGGCCCTCGTGGCGACGCTGGGTACTTATCAATCTCGTTGGTTTTATCACTCTGATGGCGGGTCTTAGCTCATCCATGTTCGCTCCTGGAGTCCCGGCCTTAATGGCCGAATTCCATTCGGACAATTCTACACTGGCATCGTTCGTGGTGACCGTATTCGTCCTCGGGTTTGCAACGGGTCCATTATTATTTGCCCCATTATCTGAGTTGTATGGAAGGACGATTGTCCAACATAGTGGCTGCATTGGATTTGTTATCTTCTCCGTTGCCTGCGCACTATCTACCAGTCTGAATATGTTGATTGGGATGCGACTACTGCAAGGCATCTTTGCCGCTGTGCCACTAACGAACGGCGGTGCCATTGTTGCAGACATGATCAGGCAGGAGAAGCGAGGATTCGCCATGGCTATGCTGACTCTTGGGGTCTTAATGGGGCCAGTTATTGGACCTGTCACAGGCGGTTTTTTGGCCGCGGCAAAAGGCTGGAGATGGGTATTCTGGTTGATAGCGATAGTCGTAAGCCCTTCTTGCCATACTTTCAAGGTCCGTATACTAAAACGATTCAGATGGGTTTCCTCACCATTCTCTGCTTCATCTTCTGGAAAGAATCTTACGCCCCTATCATCCTAGCCCGCAAAGCTGCCCATCTCCGCAAACAAACGGGCAATCAAGCCCTCCGCTCTAAATATGACATCGGTCTCTCACCTCGAGCCCACCTAAAACGAGGCATCGGCCGAGCCGTCAAGATGCTCCTCTTCTCACCCATCGTCCTCGCTCTCTCGGTTTACATGGGTCTCATTTACGCATATTTCTACCTCCTTTTCACAACCTTCACCCCCATCTTCGAAGAGAACTACCACTTCCCACCAAGCACCGTCGGCCTCAGCTACCTGGGCGTTGGCGTCGGGTTCTTGATCGGGCAAGCCAGCTTCGCCAGACTCGGCGACATCATCCTAAAGAAATGCGCAGTGAGATTTGGTAAAGGGGATCTAAAGCCGGAGTATAGACTCCCGTTGTGTTGTCTCGGTTCCGTCTTTGTCCCTATTGCGCTGTTTTGGTATGGGTGGAGCGTGGTCGGGCATATGCATTGGCTTGTTCCCATCGTTGGAACGGGGCTCATTGGGTTGGGCAATGCTTTGATTTTTGTGTGCCTTTCCCCTTCCCCTCTCTCCTTCCTCAAACAAACTCAATCCTAATATTCACTTTGTCCAGATCGCAATTCAAGCCTACGTTGTCGACGCCTTCACTCTCTACGCTGCTTCTGCGCTCGCAGCAAACACACTCACGAGATCGGTCATGGCCGCTGTGCTACCGCTTGCCGGCCCGAAAATGTATAAAGCGCTTGGTCTCGGGTGGGGCAACTCGTTGCTAGCTTTCTTGGCACTGGCGATGATTCCGGTGCCTTGTTTATTGATGGTGCATGGAGAGAAGATGAGGATGTGGAATGTGGAGAAGATGAAGAATTTGTGAAGTGGTGTGGATTGAGACCATCCTGAGGAAGTCGGTCCTCAGTAAGGCTGTTGCAAGGGTGGGAAGCAATAACGGCAGTGGCACTTGCAAGAGGTAGTCGGTTTTTTTGAAAGTCCCGAAAATTCCGACAGCTCCGTCGGCCTCATTTCAAGATGGTTTGAGGCGATGTGTGCCTGGAATTTATGATTTGGTTTTTGCACTTCGGCACCGGCGGGTCGGTTTGCATCGTGTAGGCACGACTGCGATGTTCTGAGACATTCTTGTACATCCTGCTGCCTGATAAAGCAGATTGTATCTTCGGAAACCGAGTTTTATTCCTCGATGACGGGGGTCAGAATACGAAATTGATTTCTCACAAATACCTTGGCACTATTTCTCTCAAAGCCCTCCTTGCAACATATCCAAAAAGTCACCAGGATCCAACTTCATTCACCCTTTGTTTAAGACTACCAAATGGCTAAGCTCCTCGTCATTCCAGTTATTACAGGCAGTGCGCTAGCCGCGACTGCGGTCTTCACAGCAGCTCGAGCTGTTAGAGCAGGTCGCCGAAGCTCGGCGCCAGGAAGCCAATGCATCACCAACAGGTTCGGTTTCCTCGCTCGATTACGGGTAGAAGAAGAGACAGCGAAAACTTCTTTGGAGACTCAGATTACTGCGGGGACGCTATCGAATCAGGATCGAAGAGATCTTTCTACGGCAGGCTGAAGGAACGCTACTATCGTTGTCAGAGATGCGACTGGGAAATTGTCATTGGTTTGACACCTGTGCGGAGGCTTCTTGCGAATTTGAGAGTCTAGACGGAAGAACTGTGTTCTATCGCTTCGAAAGATTTCAAAATGGCATGGGGTATATGCTGGCATGTTTGGCTGTGAGCTTTGTGATAGGAGTCCAGAAACAGGAGAGATCTTATCTCATTTGGGAGATCATTGCTCGTGGAATATCGTGGGAAATGCGGCGGAGGGGCTTCAAGATACTGAGAGATTAAAACGAGCCTTACTCTGTGTATGGAGAAGTAACAGCAGGAAATGAGCGAGTACGATGTGCAACGCAGTGAGGCTTCGGAGACCACTACATTGCTGGCAAAGCAATAGCAATGGCAAACTTACAAGCGGTGGAGTCCACATTCTTTGGAAGTCCCAAGGTTGCAATTGAAGTAAAAGAAGGAGGCAAGCCGGACATGTTTTATTTGAGCGAGGAGTATGGTTTTAGCAATTGGGATGAGTAATGATACAATAGACTTGATTCGAGATGCATGGTCTTGAAACTCTTCTATATTCGTAACGGCCCACCTGCACTCTGTGTCAAGTGACCAAGTGGTAGGACCGACTCCTGTTATTGTTATTATCAGTCAGGAATTCGGGTGCCTCGTTTGCCAGTAGAAGTGAGGCGAGGGCAGAATTCCGGGACTGCTGCAAGGCACCTTAATGCCTCGCTTTGGGTCACTTCTAGGTTAGGGGGGACTTAGTAGTCGCTCGATTTTGATTGTATTGAGAGAAGTTGGGACATAGCCTTGGGGAAAACCACGAAATGATTAAATATTAGGAAAATAATATCTCCCCCAACAACTAGAATTTCCACTCGCAATACTTCAAAAGCTCAATCTTTCACCAATACCAACGGAGTTGAGTTGTGTCTAATCTAAGGATCTTCTAAACTAATAGTTAGTGTCGTGGGATTGTTTAGCCAGCGAAGCTCGACCACTCCGTTTGTTCTCGTTCCAACATTATACCGCAATTCAACCTCCTTGTCTGGGGATTGTACAATCCCCTTTACAGTCTGGATCGTTACCCCAAAACTGTCACATTCTCTATCCTCAAAAAAATCTGATCTAAATGACACATCACCACTTGTCGCTTTCAATTTTTAACGCAAAGTAGCAGCGTTGAGTGAGGGTTATCAAAAAGACGAAAAGCAGTCTTCTCGCTCTTTAGCTAGAGCCTTTCTCACACTTCCGATGGGTAGCCACAAGAGCGTACTAACCATTGAGAATAGTAGTTCAATGATGTCTGTCAAGTCATCAGATAATTATTTGTGATAAAGATGGAGCAAAGCAACTCACGGGAACAACGTATGAAGCTCCTCGATCTTCCCGTCTTAGAAGTGCCCAAATTACGCCAACCACGCCAGAAACGCCAGTACTGCATTGATATATTAGTATTATAAATAGAGCAAGCGGAGAAATGGCAGAGTGACGTACGAATAATCCGAATTTGGAAAGGAAGGAATGACTGGTTCATCGTTCCCCAGCGCCCTACCAAACTCCATTGTGACATCGCAGCACTACATCTTGCCAGCTTCTTTGAACTATTTCATCAAATCTGTCTTTACTTACGACATCACTTAGCTACTACCAGCCACTTCTTTCTGCTTCAGGCCCATACCAACCGCAACGAAGCTCGCCTTTTTGGAACATAGCTGGTATAACATGCAGATTGAAGAAGCATCCATGTTCGGTTTATATATGTTGGTACAATGTTTTCTGTAAACTGTTGTGTGAGCCCTATGCTTGCCGAAGCTGGAAACAGCCTTTCGATGTCTTCTTTCTGCATGTGCTGCCTTGAGCAGTTCGATGTTGATCTCTTGCCTGCCTGTATTGTTGCCAAGAGAGGCGACATGAAAAATAGCTGCGTATGTTCTCTGAACCGAGCATGTTAGAAGCAAATCTTCACCTCCCCAGGCAATTGCACATATACCTGTTAATTACCATCTGTCAAGGACGCACATTGTAAGATTTTACTTCCGTTGCAACAACGCACCCAGGGCCGCTCCCTCGAGTGCTTTGAGTGCCGAGATGCTCTCCACAGGTCTCCATTTATCGGGGCGCTTAGGAGTTGTGAGCCTTCAAACTTGATGGTCTCTTCATATTTCAAAACTTCCGCAGTCAAGTCCTTTGCGATCGAGGAAAATTCGTCTGGTTTGCTCAGGAACAGAGCGTGAACTTGCGTCGCCATTTGAGAAAGGATTTGTCATAGGCTTGAGAATCCGAAGGGCCAGTATTGAAATGGTCTTCGGAGGAGAGGATACCAAAGATGGAACTGCTGCTGTCTTCACATACCGAATTCTCTTCGCTGCTACTGATCCAGTAGACGGAGCATCAGACCGCTGGGCCTAATGCGCGTCTTTCTCGGCAAAGATCTTCATACCTCGGACTATTCGTAACCCGGTACCAAGATTCTAATCCCGAATACCTGCCTGGCTCTGTGATTCCCCGGACTTTGCCAAGAGAGATTGGTGCTTCTTGTGGTGTTTTCGTCCGGAATTAGGCATCCAGGCAGGAAGACTCTCGGCCGAAGCACGACGGGAATCAATCAACCAACCCTTGCGACGACTGTCCACGGTGCCTTGTGCATTTTATTCCTCCCACCAGGGAGCTTGCCAGGGAACTGTCTTCCTTTCCAGACCGGAACCCGTTTAATACTCTACTGAAGTTTGATCGACCTGGTGTCACGTGCGCGTAACAGGGGGCCGCCTTAAGCGAGTTCAGGGGCTGGAAAGGGGCTAAGCGAATGGGGTTCATTTTAATCTCCGCAATCTCCTTCAATTGTTAAGACTCGCACTTTCCTCTCGGTCAAGAAGTGAATCAACCTCCCCGTCCATCGCACCATTCCTAAAACAGCCCGCCACGGGGTAGCATTATTTCGGGCGGGAGTGTCGGAATACTTGAACGCTGTCTGTGGGAGGAGGAGATTTCCATTTTCAATGAACTCCAAATTAACTCATTAATTTGCTATAAAGATATTCTCAAATTGACGAGACAAATTGCGAAATTTCAATTTTTCACAGTTGGCTTGGTCAAATTGAGTAGTACAACAAACACCACTCTTTCTTCCATAGTGTATGTATCTGAAACCTGGCCTGCCCTTCAAGGATAAAGCCGCGAGCCTAGGCACGATTAGGCCGCAGGACGTTCAGGGACATCAAAATCACTCCAACTGCATATTTCAGTCTCTATTCACCCAAGTGCTCTGCGATGTGGCTACATAGATATAAACTTACGCCAGGCGAGTCCAACAAGCAGAAACTCCTATCACCAAAGAAATCGAAGGCATCAAAGCCGCCGACTGTGATGAGCTTGTTCTTTGCCTTCAAGTCAATCCCCCAAACATTGCAATCCCTGTACGAATCAATTTTCGAGTTCCAAATCATATCATGGCTTTAAAATGATCTTAAAGCAGGAAAGGATGGCAATTAGAAACACTAACCGGTAATTACTATCTTGAATGAAGCCCTCCTTGTCTATTGGCACCCCCAGGCATAAGAATGATAAGATTCTCCTTGAAGCCATGACCTACGATTAATCTCACATGACTTGGAAACTGCGAAAGGCCCCTACATGGTCTCAATACCAATGGCTATATCACGATTCCTCTAGTCAACAATGGTATAACATGTTATACTGGTAAAAGCTCACCTCCAGACAATACCTTCAATGACATTCCTGCTCATGCCTCCCGATTCCAAGACAACTTCCGCGTTAGAATCGACCTCGATGTCCACTGCTCTCTTCCAATCCTCTCAACCGTTAATGGTGATAGATTTCGTCGATCTTTCCGGATTCCGAGATTAAATAACAGTCTTCCCGTCTAGCCACCCAGATTGTGTTCGATTAAGAAGGAACATGGTGGGCCAGCGTAGACATCGCCGTAACCTTTGATACGAGTGGATAGCAATGCACCGAGGTTTTGGGCTGTCGTGTAAGTCCGAGTGTTGATGATTTTGAAAGTGACAGACTGTTCGGATGTAAGGAGTTTTAGGGAGGGGGGATTTCTAGCAGCTGACGCAGCTTCTTGTGTCACGGTGCTTTATTTGATGTTATTAGGTCGGGTTAAGCATTTGGCCCGGTTAGAAAACACAGTAACATTTAATGCCTTTACTTGTTTTATGAAATCAAGATAAGTTCACTCCCTTACTGGAATGTCAGTATTAAACGCAGTTGGATGTTGAAGGGAAGCAAAAATAGGCTGATATCCATTGTATAGAAGGTATTACTTCGTTTCAATACATACTTTTGTGAAAGTTTCTCTCTTAGGAGGTGAGAGCAGTAAGAGTGGGACTTGTCAGATCGGGCAGGTACGACTAATGGATTTGCTTCAAATTAGGTTCTTCGTCCCGTCAATTTCCTGGTGTGAACCACTTATACAAAAGAGGAAAATGGAGAAGAAGACAGCATCTACGAGTCCTTTTGAGCCATACAAGAAGACCATGTAGAAGCGACCTTATAATTTGGTTGGTTTTCATATGGAGCCGTACTTGAGTAACTTGGCTTTCCAGGACTCCAAAATCGCCTTTTTGAAGAGAAGAGGCAATTCAAGTGACGGTTTCGAATGTTCGAGTATGTTTTAAACTACAATGAAGGAGAAATCACCGTACTCTCGTCAAGCGGTGAATAGTTTTAAGCTCAACGATCCTTATTTGCTACTTGTGTAGTGCGAAGGAGTATGCGACTCCCTTCAAATCTGTGTATAGCCCAGCTTCCTTCACACACTTTGGTGCAGACTAGCGTCTACGACGAGAAGAGAGCCTTTTCTTGATCATGGCCCTCATATCCTTTTCAAGCCGATCGTGGTCCTTGTAGCGATCCTTGTCTTCGTCTTCCCAACGATAATACGGCCCTCTGAACCACTTCAAGCCCTCGATAAAACCCACCTCCCTCAGGTTCGTTAGTGTTATCATTTGAGGCATTTGCGGCAATTCAGTTGTCCGCCGGTGCCTCAAGCCCCTCGCCCGATCAACATCCATGTTCTGCCAGTCCGGAGGGACAAACGATCGTCGTAGGTACCATCCACCCTTCCCCTTAGCTAGCAACTCGTCTGACATCCAGTGGTGCCCACCCGTGCAAGCGTACCCACCTGGTATTCTATCCCACCAAAGCCCAGCGGGACATGGTCGCATTTGATTGATCTTCTCCTGTGCCCAGTCTTCCTGAAACTTTTGTTCCTCTGGTGAAAGGAAGTCGTACATTGTTTGGCGAGAAGCCATTTTGATATCATGCTTGCTCGTGAATACGGTCTTAATTGGCTCGCCAGTCTTTTTTAAAGTATCATCTAATTTGGAAGGAAAGCCATCATTGCGTCTTGGGTCCAACCTGGAAGGAAGGTAGTCTTTGCTTGTTGGATCTAGTCTAAAAGAGAGACTGCGGCCAGTAAGTCCGGAAGAAGGACTTGCATTGGAGACGCTGCCGAGTCTAGAATTTAAAAAGTCGTTGGTAGGTTTTGAGAAGGGACCTGCTTTCGATATTTTGTCAATCCTAGATGGGAGGCCTTGAAGTGACGCATGCTTAGGGTACACAGTTTCACTTTGGGCTGGTAGAGCTGGTCGGGCCGGAATGAGAGCATCAAGACGAGCCTCTTCCATGTCCTCGGCTCTAGAGGGGTGGCTCTTTTGCTCTGATGATGTTTTGATTTTGCTGGAAGACATTCTTGAGAGAATTAACCTTCAGTTGTATGTTCTCGGTCTTGTGGTAGCGGGATGTTTTTTGCTAAGTTGAGAAGATTGAAGCATCTTTATATTTAAAAGGAAGAATTCAGGGAAATCTGCAAGGTTCTATAGACGCTGGTTGGGAATAACAGTACGTTGCGGTTTGTAATGTATAAATGCTTGGCAAATGCTTTAAATTAATGATGGTTCAACTCGATGAATAACATTATGAGCTGCCTAAAAAAAACTATGGTGAATGTGTTTTGGGGCCAGGATAAATACTGCTCTAACTCCATTGCCACGCCACACTGGACTTCTCACCATTTACAGTCATACGAGATCGAAACCAATTTTCCAGTCACTATCATCCATTCTTGACCAGAGTTAAAGTTGTGAATACGAGAGAAAGCTAAAGTCTGGGAGGCTACGCCAGCGAACAAAGGTTAAGATAGAATTATTTCATCTTTCCACTCTTACTCACTGTATCGTTGGGGGTTGGACAACAAGAATCTACTCCCACTTACATAAACTTGGACTGGGAGGGACGTGGGAGTTGCTCGCTCTGGAGAGGCGCCCACTTATTACGCGCTGATGGGGCCGAGAGGAGAAGTCACGGCAAGTCCAGGACTTCAAAACCAGCATACCTAAGACCAATTCCTGATCAGACCTCGCTTTGCTAAGATTTATTTTCTGCCAAGGAAAGAGGATATCGATGTCTCTCTCCTCACCACTCTTAGAATGTGTGCCCTAGAAACAAACATCATCTTAGAAAAAGCCAGCTTCTAAGTACACCTTCTCAAGCCTCGATTTCTCTCGATACTCCCAGTTCTTTAACGGATATTTATGTAAGCTCGACGGTGATACTGGAAAAACAAATCATTATATTCGGCCGAGACGGACATTTAATTGAGGTTAGCGTTTCAATACAACGTGGCTATTACTTCTGCCTGCTTTGCCATGGGGTGAAAGGGATATTTAAGCCGGTTACTGGAAGAGCGGAATGAGAGTGGAATTGAGATGTTTTCATGGTTTCGAAGTTCAAATAGTGATAGCTTATCGTCCGTACAGCAAACTCCTAGCCACATCAACTCCTTGTCCTCAAACCACATCCCAATATAGTTACTCATGGCCCTCGAGCTTCGCAATGGAAGAAAAATCATCAGGTAGGTTGTAATTCCTGTGTGTCTGAGACATGATATTAGAATTATCGCAAATCAAGTTGTTGCGATTAAGGGTTGCACGAACGGCTGTATAAAAGCACTGCTCATCCAATCAGTGTCATCCATAGAAATATACGATAAGTACTGAAATGCTCCATAGAATTCCATGCTCACTACCCCTGAAGCAATCATAGTTGGAATTAGCGAAACCGGATTCTTAGAAGTGGTTCAGCACTCTCAAGAGTGACTGCCAGGAGAAACAGATGGAGGCAAAGACGACTCTATTGGCATCTAAGCCTGGAGCCCTAAAAATGGCTGGCTAACTAGCTAGTTCCTTCCTCTCTGGTGGCGTCACCACCCGTCACCCAACAGTGACACCAATTGCATGGTAGTTCAAAGTGCTAAAACGTTGTGCCTATTCACTCTCAGGGTCACTCTACAAATGAAACATTTCAACAATCACATAGAGTGCTAGGGAAAGGGTAGTTTGCCCTCAGGACTAGATTTGCTGGAACTCTCTCATCTTTTTCAGCCGACTATAAACCGAGAGTCGCTCTCGCGCTTGTGATAATATGACTATCAACTTCTCATCAGGGGTTGATCCGGGAGTCTGCAAAAATATGTGGTCCAATATTCTCCACATTTTGTTGTCCTTTGGAATATGTGGGTGGACAGAGACCCCTTTAAATAGGACGATGGCAGAACGGTATAGATTCCAAGCATCCACGTGTCACAACCGAGAATGGAGTTCCGGAGAAGTTTTGAGTGTCAGAACATGCGAGAGTTGGATGATAATTTGATCAAATAAACTGCTAACTGTTAGCGATGCGTATCTCTTAATAGTGGCCGGACATGGATTATAGTTGATTAATCTTTTCGGGAAGCTTGCCGTCAATCGCTTGATGACAGCGGTGAAGGCCCATGGAGAACAGCTTGACCTACAAGCTTGGTAAGCGTCACTCCATGACATTATTTCGTAGGCCAGCAACGTACTGTCAACATTTCTAGCACCAATCTAGCAGATCTTTGAATCGGTATGCCTGGTTTAAGCCACGCATACTTGCTTAACATGGCTGTTCAGAAGTCTATGATCTATCCTAATACTGTTGAAATGTCGGTTTCCTTTCGCTCAAGCTTTGATCGAACAAACCAAATGACGCGGCGAATAACAGAGCACTCGAAGTTCATGATCGAAAAAGCCTGTGTCGGTCAACATGTCGTCATTTAATGTTTGATTTTAGTCTCGGTCATGGACTGAGGGGTGGAATTATGGTATCAAATTCATCTAGAGTATTATCGTCAGCACTTGGCACGTCAAGTACGTGTAGACTGTCATCAATTACTTGATTCTGAAAAGGAGGTGTACCTGCTCGAATTTGTGACCGTGGTCTATGTACTTCGCAATTTCTCAAGTCCAAGAAGCACAATTGAAGCCACAATCATCTCCTCACATGTGCTTCAGTTACGTTGAAGCTATATAAAGCAGGATCCCTGTGAAGTCCCATGGATTTCGCGATGAACCTAAATGCTGCCGAGAGTAGTCAGACCAGTCAAGCGAGAAAGAAGTCGGGGTGGGTTGGATATCAGGTATGCGCCGCTTCTTACAAAGCCTGGAAACAACTTGGCTGACTAAAAATCACAGACCGGAAGATGTGGTAATAGCAGTGATGGGAGTCACAGGTAGCGGGAAGAGCACGTTCATCTCCCATTTTGTTGAAAGTATTCCAGTTGGCCACACCCTGAGGCTAGATGAATGGGTGCATTCTAACTGAGTATAGGTACGAGTGCAGTCACCAGATACCAATGCAATTACGATGTGAAAACCAAAATCTACCTTGTTGACACGCCCGGTTTCGGCACTTGTCGATCTGACACCAATATCCTGCGAGAGGCCGACTGGTTGAGCCAGGCTTACGACATGGGCATCAAATTGACTGACATCGTGTACCTTGATCGCATACGTAGATCGCGGCATAAAGTGACGGGAACACAGGGCATTTCTACCTGGAAGTCTACTACGGCAGTTTTCTCAGGATACCCAGCCCACTATGATAGGACCCTCTAATCGCAGGCTTTGCTCTAAATAGCACGCTATAAGGCTAGACAAGGGGTGCCACACCTCTTGGGGGCTTATCACCTGTATTTACAAAGGATTACTCGCTAATAAACCCTATTCTAGTTACCCTTATAGCTTCCGAGCGCTATAGTTACTAGGCTAGTAGCATAACTAGACAGAGCGCTAGTTCTGGGAGTTCTAAAGCTTATTTCTCTACTAATACGAGAACCTTAGTAGGCTAGGGGTACGGCGTTCGGCGCCTCACAGGAGCGTATACACATGTATATCTTAAGTACAGGAAGCGTACGTATATCCTTGAGGATATATTTCCTAAGCAATTACAAGTAAGGGACAGAGGGACGTACGTCTTGCCCACTTTTTATACGTATGCTACGGGCTAAAAAATAGCCGAAAAAGAAAATCTTACTTTATAATAAAATCATATAAATTAGCTTACTATACGCGGGGGAAGGGGGCTAGAGGGGGATCCAATTCTCAATTGCATAAGCACCCGTTCTAGGGTTTACCCAGAGAGGGTACTTATGCATTCTAATCAGAGTTGGCCTCCTGTCATTTCCCCTTTGGGCGTACACCCATGTTTTAGGAATGCTACGCGAGCAAAACAGGGGTGTTGCAGGGGTTGGCAGGGGCACACTGATTTTGTATCTATAAACCCATAAGGATCGCCTATCCGTTGCAGTGCCACCAGCTTTGCACCTCTAGTAAGCAAAATTCCATAACGTCAAACTCTAATAACCTGCCACAAAATGATGAATCCCTGAATTACCCTAAAAGACTATAGATAACCTTTTACATAACAAGTATTCCTAGTTTATTTCAATTTCTATTAATATTGTCCTAAATAGGAAGAGTTAAGGTTATGGGACTTTTTATATTCCTTTGTTTTAGCGAGGTGCAAAGCTAGTGGCACCGCAACGGATAACCTTGCAAATGCCTCATAGTAGGTTTACAGGGCAGCCGCCTATTAATATAGGGCCTTGTAACGGACCGGCCCCTAGAACCACACGCTATAACGCAGGTCGAGGCCAAATGCCCTGTATTCCTGTCACTTTATGCCGCGATCTTCGTACTTGATGTTCGCCTAGGAGAGTTTGCTATGAATAATTTACGAATGTTCAAGATGCTTCGCAGAGAAGATACTCTCTTGAGGGTTCTTGCCACCACTTGGTAGTCTAGTGCCGATCCAAAAGTTCGAAGCAGAGCGCGAAGTGCAATTGATATGCAGAGATGATTTCTGGGCGGGCATGATCATGAAAAGAAGTCGGGTATTTCGACAAGATAATGATGCGAAATCAGCAAAGCATATCGTGAAGTATCTGCTGAACAGGAAGCGGCTTGTGACATTAAAAATACAGATAGAAATGGGCGACGATAAGAAGCCGCTTGATCAAACAGGCGCTGGTGGGGAAGTCGATCGTCAACTTGCGGCCTAGAAGAAGTTGAGAACAAACTACGGCAGCCTGAGGAAGATATGCGCGAGGTGATGCGAATCAAGGACGAAGAATTCCACAAGGATACGCCCGCTCATAAAAAGGAAATCTAAGAGAAGATGAGAAAGGCCGAGGAAGATAGGAAAGCGTCGCAAGAAAATAGGGACGAATTGCGAAAGATAATTGATCGAGAAAGAAGAAAGTTGATTGAAGAGATCGAGTTGAAGGCGAAGGAGATGATAGCAATTGAGTTTGAACTCAAGTTCAAAAGAATCGAATATAAGAATGAAGTGGCGAGGGATCAGCTGAAGTTCTCTCTGGAGACGGACGCCGCCGAGAAAAGACATCTAGAGATGCTACTCGAGAGAGAAAGGGAGAGGAAGAGTAACTATTACATTCTTATGTAGCCCTACAATATCAAATGTGATATTGGTTGACTTCGAACTGCTTGAATTAGGACTGTCTCCCAGAGAGTCGGGAGTAATCTAATGCTGGTGTCTTTGTCGTACAACTACATGTCTTCTCAATCATCTATGGGTTGTTGGTACAAGTCGCTCTCTAGCAAATCAAGTCCTCCAAACCCTTGTCTATACCATTTATACACTGATTTTCTTTCTAGTACTAAACTTCTCGTCCAAGGAATGTTTCTCAGGGATGGCAGACCCAGGGCCGTCCAATAGCCTCCTCGCCCTGACTTCGAATGCTTCGATCATCATCCCAGCAACCTTTGGTGCAACGGCCTTGCTCAATGCAGCATATATCGGATTCGAGAACTGGAAATTGAGCGTCAAATGTACTTCGGTCTGGTCTCTTGCTGGGTGCACCGTCTTGTCCGTCTGTGGGTGGCCTGTGGGTGGCCTATAGTGGAACGGCTTGACTGTCCATCGCGTGCTTAGAGATTGGAAGATTGCGTTCGCTATTGCTGGAGCGTCAAAGGTTGCAGAATGGTGGGAGAGGTCGGTTTTCGAGAGGTCCGTGACAGCATCGCCGCTGAGAGCTTCGACAACAGAACCGGGCACGCACAATAGTCTTGACGTGAACTCTTCTTCATATCCGCCCCACCCAACTTTCAGATCTGCCTCCGAAGGCCACCGTTGTCCGTTCTTGTCTGCCTCGGACCATTTTGTGACTTTCGATTCCACACAGTACGGGACGAAGGAAGAGTAGCTGTCGACATCTGCAATTAAAGTGTACAGGCTGCTGGATTTGTAAGGAAGTATTCTCGTAGCTGACAAGCTTTGTGATTCAGTGCCAGGGAGCGTTATGAAGCTACGCTGAGCTTGCGATCTGAGGGAGTGAAGGGCGGAGACTGGCCGGAGTGTTCGTAGCATTGCTTTCGACATGACCCAAATTGAGCTGGAAGTGAGAAGAATCAAGAGCAAAATATTACAAAACTTCGAGGTCCATATTGACAGAGGAAACAGCAGCCTTTGAGCTCGTCTCGGGAAATCATGAGGTCATGATGGGAACAAGATGCTAGCTCTAGACTTTCTTGATTCTTGGGGGCGGCAGAACTTTTTGCTTCACCGCCTTTTTCCGCGCCTGCTTTATCCTTTCCTCGGACCACGAGTTCTCTCTCCTTCAACTTCAACAATGGAGTCGAGTCAAAGCAACGGGGAGACCGTCCTTGTCGAAAGTTTGTCCTCATCGACAGTTCAAGACTCATCCGCGGCAACTGATCCTCCACAGCCCTTACCGCCGCACTTGTCCCACGATCCAGAAAACAACCTGAAGAGGAGCGACCCATTTCAATTCGGCTCGAGGCTTCTCAGCCAGGAGGACAATGTCTTCGAGTTCAATGCATGGGATCATGTAGAAACTGACGATTCTTACAAGGAGTATGCAGAACTACAATACGCTAAGCAACGAGAAGCTCCAGTCTCCGACTTCGATAAAGGTATGTACCTATTTTCTTCCTCTCCTGGTCATCATCGTGCTTCCTGATGATTTGAAAAATGCATAGTTCATCTGAGGCTTCGGCCCATGAACGAAACAAATCAGCAATGTCTTTCGCTCCTATCTGAATAGCACTTCTTTCCCATCAAATTCTGCTCGACTATCGTCCCGGAATTGAGCTAACTATTCCAAAGGCAGATTCAACTCCGACCCAGCGAAATGGTGGAACAATTTCTACAAGAATAATACCGCAAACTTCTTCAAAGATCGCAAATGGCTCCAACAGGAGTTCCCAGTACTGTCTAAAATCACAAAGCCCGTGGCAGGGCCAATTACACTACTCGAAGTCGGTGCTGGTGCCGGAAATACTGCCTTTCCTATCTTAAAACACAATCAGAACCTAAATCTCAAAATACATGCGTGCGATTTCTCCAAGAAAGCTGTGGAAGTAATACGTGAGAACGAGGCATACAATACCAAGAATATACAAGCCGATGTTTGGGATGCTGCGAGCGAAGAACTCCCACCTGGATTGGAAGAAGGAAGTGTGGATGTGGTCCTGATGATCTTTATCTTCTCTGCCTTGTCACCATCTCAGTGGAAGCAAGCTGTGCAGAACATCTATCGAGTTCTGAAGCCTGGTGGGGAGGTTCTTTTCCGAGACTATGGCCGCGGTGATCTGGCTCAAGTGCGCTTCAAGAAAGGCAGATATCTCGAAGAGAACTTCTACATCCGTGGAGATGGTACCCGAGTCTACTTCTTCGAGAAAGAGGAGTTGATCAAGATCTGGACTGGAAAGGAGACCGAGGATGACGGCGTCGGGAGTACTGGCTTTGAGGTCATCAACCTTGGCGTTGACAGAAGATTGTTGGTCAATAGAGCCAAGCAACTGAAGATGTACCGATGTTGGATGCAAGGGCGTTTCCGAAAGCAAGTGAAGCCGGTTCCAGGTTGATAGGCTGGAATATGGATAAGAGTCCCTAAGAATGTTCGCAAGCCTCCCGCGCCGACGGCTCTCCACCATCAGTGGCATCAGCTTCAGGGAGTCTGGCAATCACACGGGAGGAGCAATCGGATTGCTAGGCACATGCTCTCCAACGGAGCATCCTCATCCCAATGCTGCCGGGACTGCAGTTGCAAGACCCCTGCAGGCATTCCTGCTTCATCGAGACTCGTCGAGACTCGTCGGCGCAGCAGGCCACATAGCCAAGCGGCTCCCAATATTACCATTTTAAAATGGGGTTAAAATGTTCCAGTAGCCAGCGAACAATATAACTTTATAATCCTACCAGATATATTGACAACTCCCTGTTCCCAACCAACCCAAAGCCTTCTCAGTTTTACAACACCTGCATCGACCTTGGTGTTCCCCAATGGGGCTAGCATGATTCTGCGAGGAGATAAAGGTCCACTTCTTATTATACTTCAGAGAGCTGAGCAGCATCAAATATCTCCCATTTTGAAGCTTCACTCCAATGTTCCATGCGCTGATCGCCTCAAGCCTTCGGTTACTTGGAGCTTGAGCGGCTCTGTATTCAGGCTACAGCCGCGCTCCAAAACATGACCCTTTCCGCTAGCGTTCTCGACACTTCTCCCCTCAAAAGTCGTTTGGCTCCTTTCGGCTCTGGAACCCCCTTTCTGTTGGAATTCCAGGAGATTAGTCCCCTCGCTCGAAGCGGCGGGCTATCCAATTGTACGCAATGTCAGCTAAAAGCATATAAGTCTAGACAAGTGTCAAGGGCGAGTTTGCACGTATGCGGGCCCGGAAGGTTGGCTCGAGTCGTTGAGGATTCGATGGATGCGGGATTGTGGTTCAGAATTCTGCTCTTGCAGTTTCGGATGGTAGAACCTCCCGCCAAGGTCCGGCCTGGGATTCGGGACTCAAAGGTCAACCAGAAACCGAAGTATAGAGTTACAGAGCTGAGCCGCCTCTGGTCGGCCGGGAGGATTGCACATTCGAATGTGGCTTCCAATGGTTTCGCACCTACCGTGAGTCTCAGGGGGTCATTGTCTTAAGTCATCGCTTGCCTAGTTCCGCACACGCAGAGCTGACGACGCCGCTGCATTGATAGAATCACTGGAAACGGAAGGAAGAACTGCAGTATCTCTTGCCGTGCATTTTGGAAGGAAGGCATCAGGACTGAGAAGTCGGCCATTGTCATTTCCAAAATCCCCACGTTTTGCTGTTCAATTGCAATCGCTTCAAAAATTCGAGATCGCCTTCCACTTCGCTGCTCATCTGGAGGACCATGAACCCCTCCACAGCCAACGAGAAAGGTCAGGTCGAGCATAATTTTGACGACAAACTCGCTGCCACAACTTCGCCTTCTGACCACTCTGGGGCCGGGCTAAGCCATCTCACCAGTTTCGCAGCAGGCTTGCTCTCGCTTCTTCTGTGGTACATCTGGAGAACCGATACGGAAATCTTTGGTTGGAAAGTCGGGGACGGTGGGTGGAGTTGTGCCGCTTGAATGTGTAGTTTGTAGTGTTGCGGTTGGGTATCTGGGAATAGAGGCGTTGAGGGGGGTTGAAAGGAGTTGGGGGGTACGAGGGGTCAGCAATGAGGATTAGGCTTTATAGGACTGGGTTCCATGAGAAGAGAAATTATGTGTGACGTGTGGGATTCCACGGAAAATAGCGGGGAGACAGCAGAGGTCGTTAGCTTCAGAACCTGAGGGCCATGGATGTGTCACACCAAAACAACATCTTCCTCTGAAAGCCCCACATCGAAGACTCCTTCCATCAGTCCATGCGTCCTCCTTTTTTAATTGAAGTTCAACCGCAGCCTCACAATAAACCTCGCCGCTAATTCCAGGGGCTCGCTTAAACAAACCTGCGAAAAAAGCATGAAAGCATGTGCAATAGCTTCAACATTCAAATTAGGCTTAAAGCCGTGCCTATCTATCAAACCCATCAATATATATATAAGAAGTGGATTGAATCTAGGGTTGGGTATCTGGTACTGTACACTGAAACTAGTACAACGGAAGCGCATACGCGTCGAAGTAATACTTCCAGGGGTCGGTGGGGGCTTGGTCGTACTGGCATTCCAAGACAGTGCCATTATTGCTCCAGTAAAGCCTCAACAGCCACGCTCAAGTCTGTGCATTCTGGCCCTCGTAGATACCCTGAAGGTAGGTAGCGTTCAGCGTTGTCGGTACAACTCCGTTCTCAACCCAGTCGATCATCACCGCCAGGTTGATTTGTGGAAAAGGACCGTTTGGCTGCGCGGTGTTGGTGCCGCAGTGATCTGCTCCAGGGATGGGAAAGAGGCGATACTAATCCCCAGCCCGGTAGTGCTGTCGTTGAGGGTCATGTTTGAATACATGATGCCACGGACTGGCTCGTGATTGTAGACTGAACTGGCACTCGGACGCTGGGATCGGATTCGCCGTGGAAATGCAAGACTTTTCCACCACTAGAGTAGAATGCAGTAAGGTCTGGATTGTTGGTTTGAAGCGCGTCCACGTACATCTTCCAGCCTTAACCATTCAATCAACAAGGGTGTCATAAATGAGGTTGTCCAAAGTCGAGAGGTTATCTACATCCTGCAGTTCGAGAAATCGACCAACCCATTCACCGCCAGTTCCAGCAATATCCAAACCCCAAGTGTCAGCTGTCGAGCCGTATGTAGTTGCAGCGTCTTCAAATTAGGCACCCGGGATATGCTTGACGACCTTGCGAATTGCGTAGCCCATCGATGATCGTCTGAGCCACGGCAATACCCTCAGCGCTCACGATGCCATTATGATCAGGGGTCGTTGCCATAGATTATCTCTTGTTGCCGAAGCCCAATCCAAGGCTTGCGTTCGTCTCAGCAGCACAAGAGTAAGGTAGACCGACGATGGAGCTGAGGTTAAAATGAAATTTGCAAAGGTCGCTTCGAGAGCCCACCCCGTCGGTCCTTCCGTCAAGGCTGTCGCAAACAGGGATAGTTGCATTGAGGATCCTGTCTAACTCGCAAGACGGATTAGATGTGGAGTTGAAGAATTGCTGCGTGAGGGCCTTTCTGATGATGGCCTGTTTGTAGATCCCTCTGTAACCCATCATGAAAAGCGGCTAGTAGTTGATGGTATGATTCGCCAGGAGGAAGACTCCGTCAAAGGTGGTACTGAAGCTCCCAAATCCACCGTCAGTGGTCCCCGCAATAGCACCATACTGAACCCCCCCCCCCTGCGTTGCCTTCCCCTGCGTTGATGGCAGGGGTGAAGCCACCAGTGGAGAACTTGATCGTCCCGGCCATAGTGACTGTAAGCCACTGTGACATTGCAATAATCGAAAGCGGCATCGGGAAAGAAATCCTCGACGCTGACAGAAATGTTGTAAACGGAGTTGACGGTGACCGAGGCTGGGTCAAGAATAATGCCAGCAATTGTACCATTCGCAGGCAGCGCTGTCTGAACATATAAAGCTGTACTGTACAAACGTCACTGAGAGATGTGGCATGGACGCCAGCTGCCGCAGTGGTGCTGAGCAAGAGTCCGCGGTGCATCTTGATTGTTGGGGAGAGGTATGAAAGATGAAAGCTGGAATGAAAAGAGACAGGACAGCGAGGGTGTAGGCGGACGAATGAGCGATGGGAAAAGATGGTTGATCCTACTGGGAACAAGAAGTGCCAAGCATCTTATAACAGAATGAATGTTACCTTTTCAAAGTTCTCATCGAAATAGTCAGATGACTAGTGCCCATGATGTCAAGGTTACGCAGCTGGTGCGATGCCCAGGAAACCATCAAAGCCTCGGCCACAGCCAGATATTGCTGAGGCTCCACTTGAGGCCGAGAAGTCATAATGTATAACGACAGACGGAAAGTGCATTCGGACTTTTGGACTGAGTTGTAGAAAGGCAGGAAGGTTAGCGGTTTCGAAAAGAGAGGGTGGACAAGGAGCCTCGGTCCCAAACGACACACGCGTCTCAGCGTCTGGCAGCTGGCGGCTGGATGCACGAATGACGAGCCGCAGGACTGTCGTTGCTAGGGACCTAGGCAATATAGCTGGAGGTGAAGGTGAAGATGAAGATAAAGATCCAAAGATGGCGGCTGTGAGGATTCGAATTCTCGAACAGGCTCGGGCTTGGTCATCACCACTGACATCCGGAGCGTGCGAATCTACAAAAGGGCTTCCCAGCTCGAGAAAAGCATGAAACAACGAGCGAGGGGGGCATTCTCGGAAATGCAATACGAGTAACAAAGTTTAATTGATGACTTCAGGATCTTATCCTGTCTCGAATCTGAGTCTGGATAAAGGAATGTCGTGTGCTGGAATGGGGAGATCTCAGGGAGATTCACGGGGTGGTGAGGGTGAGTGGGGTCCCAAGCGCTAAAAGCCACTGTCGCCAAATCTCAAGCTGTCAATCTCACACACTCTCACACACTCTCACTCTCACCCTCACTCACTTTCACTCAATCGCTCTCCCTCACTCACTCGCCCTCACTCACTCACTCACTCACTCACTCTCACTCAATCACTCGCCCTCCCTCACACTCCCTCCCTCACACTCCCTCCCTCACACTCCCTCCCTCACACTCCCTCCCTCACACTCCCTCTCATAACCTCCCTGCCTACATGCTCATCCAATCCCAGACACGATGCGCCCACAGTGGGTTGGCACTGAGAGCAGTCCTCGCGATCGAGCAGCGGCAGCAGCACTTTTTCTCCGTCGGTGAGAGGAGATGAAAACACCACCAGCATGAGGCCGCGATGAGGTAACCAATATCTTATTCCTCTCTCAATGGTTCCTGCGTCCCAAAACATTTGAGCACGGCCATGTCAATCTCCCGAGACAGGTATCTTGAGGATTCTGCATTCATGGCCGCTTATTCTAAGTCTCTCTTTATACTTGCAATCATTGTCTTGCTGACTTGTGTTCGTTTTCGGAAAAATCTTGCCGTTTAATTCACACCTCACTCCTTTTGAACTTTAACTCCTGTAACTTGTAAAGAATGACTTCCCATTTGCTTGCCGCATCACTTCACACAAATAGCGACAGCACCCCAATCGTCGCTTCCATCCCTTCTTCCGATCCTCTCCCCCAACCTCTCTCCAGAAGCTTTCATTGGTAAGACGAGAAACCTCTCCAGATCCCCTTTCTAACTTTCTAAAGGACCGAAGCATCGTTGCAACAGCAATCCCACACATATCCAACGATTTCCGCTCCCTAAATGGTATTGGATGGTACGGCAGCGCATACACGCTGACTTCCTGTGCCTTTCAATTGTTCTTCGGACGGATCTACACCTTCTACTCCTCAATATGGGTCTTTCTCGCAGCTATCGTCCTATTCGAAATTGAATCTGCTCTCTGTGGAGCCGCTCCAAACTTGATTGCCTTCATTGTTGGCCGAGCAATCGCTGGCATTGGTTCTGCTGGAGTCTTCACTAGCGTGATAATCATTGTTACCCAAACAATACCGCTGGCGAGGAGAGGCGCTTATTCCGGGTAACTTTGGAGCTGTGTTTGGAATTGCATCGATTATTGGTCCATTACTTGGAGGTAGGTTCAGTCATTTGCTCCAAAGGTCCGGTACTTTCCCTACCCACGCAACTTGGAGATGGTGCAAGCCCAGCTGTCTGTCATCTCCCGCGATTTTCTAACAAGATCAGGCTTTTATATAAATCTCCCAATTGGTGCCGTCACATCCCTATCATCGCCCTGATACTCCAAGTACCCGCACCCAATGCCTCTGCAGAAACAATCAGAAAAAAATAAACCAGCCCGACCCCATCGGGACGGCCCTTTTCACCCCCGGAGTCGCGTGTCTGCTGTTGGCCCTGCAGTGGGGTGGTTCAACATACGCCTGGCAATCTGCACGAAACATAGTCCTCTTCGTCTGCGCTGGCATTCTCCTCCTTAGTTTCATCGGCGTCCAAGGATGAAAACAAGAAAACCCTACTGTCCCCCCTCGCATTACCACCCAACGTAGCGTCGCTTCCGGTTTCTTCTGCGCATCCTGCATCGGTTCCGCGATGATGATTTTGGTTTACTTTGTGGCGATCTGGTTCCAGGTTGTTGAAGATATCACTGAGTACGAGTCTGGAATCGGCATGTTGCCTCTGGTTTTAGCATTTGTCGTGGGGAGTGCCATGAGTGGTGGCCTTATTTCTGCTGCTGGCTACTACACGCCATTTATAATCCTCGGGACAGTATTGATGACTGTTGGTGGAGGCCTTGCTCACCACTCTCCATATTGAGACGACAAAGGCGCAATGGATCGGCTACCAAGTCTTATTCGGGTTGGTCGATGCCGAGACATGCAAGTGCCCAGCATGGCAGCGCGGACTGTTCTCAGAAACGCAGACGTACCCATTGGCGCCAGCCTCGTGCTCTTCGCGCAATGGCTTGGAGGAGCTATCTTCGTTTCTGTGGGGGAAACGTGTTAACGACCAAACTGGCCACAGGACTTGCGAGCACTCCTGGATTCGACCCCCAAGTACGTTACGAGTTGCGGTGCCACGGACCTGAGGGCCTTTGTTCCACAGCAATTCTGAGCAGAGGTTCTGGGTATCTATAATGGTGCATTAGTCAAGGCCTTTGAGGTTGCGTTGATTCTTTCTTGCCTGTCTATTTTCGGGGCCTTGGCGATGGGGTCTTGACGATGGAGTGGAGGAGCGTGAAGAAGGAGGGGAGTGGTGGGCGGTCGGGGAGCAGCCTTGCGCTGCACGAGGGGTGTCAAAGGAGAGGAGGCGAGGTACTATATTGCACTGTAATGACCACGTTTGTAAGCATATCCGAAGCATAATTCACTCTTCGCTCTCATTATCAGTAACCAAGCACATTTTAGCTGGCTGAAGCGAACTGGACTGAGAAGTGAGCTGCGATCATGTGACCGTCGCCATTCACTCACAAATCGGGCGTCTGCCTGCAGGAAAGCTGATGCAAGGCTCCGCACGCTACTTCACTTCCTTCTTCCAACGTCGTCTCGTCCCTTGAACTCCCTCCATCTTCTAAACCTTCCTGCCTCATCACCCACCCCACCTCATTTTTTGTCCTGACCACCACACCACCATACTATCGGCAAAGGATAGGTATCGTCGGATCCATCGAGAACTGCCTGGCCACTGCCTGAGTGACAACACTGTCGTCTCCTTGTAGATGGAGACGGCTTCCCGCATCGAAGGCAACTGAGAGCGTACAGTACCTCCACATTGGAACAATGGAAGAGTCCTCCTCTCCAAGGGTGAGTTCCATTCTCTTCGCATCGATTCTTTCTTGTTCCCTCTCTTGAGAACTTCATGATCCTCAGGGACAAAGGTCTCCTCCAGGCTGCAATCCCCTCCCCCATGCATATAATCCAGGCTCTGCTCCACACCCTGGACCAACCTTCACCGTTCCTCTCCCGAACTCTTCTGACCTTGTCCCAGGTTCCGATGGAGCGGTACACTGTTACGGTCACTCCTCCGGGAGCTGCACCAATTCGTCTCTTGATTCCCTTCCCTCCCAGCTCTTCCATCTCTGCACTGACTGCCGAGGTAAAGAGACGAGCTTCTCGCGCTGGCCTTTCGCCTGACGCGTCCGAGCTTGTCCTCCATCTTGGAGACGCTATGGGTCCTCTCCTTGACGAAGAGGATCTCTTGGAAGATGTCATCGTCGACTCCAAGACTGAATCCATCACCGCAACACCTCGAAATGATCCAACTTCCATGGGACCTGCGCCACCTTTAGAACCAAATCACGTAAGTCAACCTCTCACAATCTCGATTCTGCGCTAATTTGCTTAGACTCCTGTTCAACAGGCACTGCCGAGTACATCAAGCGGCCAAGAAGTGAAAGTCCGCGTGATCACACCCGTTTATGCTAGGGCTCACAGGGACATCCGAGCAGTTCCTCTCTTGACTTGTGCCACGATCACACGGAAGAGTACTCTCCGAGAACTCAAATTCCAGATATCCAATCACCTTCAGATCCCTATCTTGGACGCTGCTCAACCTATTCAAGAGTGCAATTGTTCTTTTGCTAGACAAATCGACGAACGTGCTCTCCGTAATGACACTCGCTCCCAAATACTTGATGGATATCTTCCCAATGCGGCACACAAGTTCATCGTTGTTTATGGCCAGAGCCGAGTAAAAATCCTCGAAACCGAAGCCACAGATAAGATATCTCTCGTGGAGGCAGTTCGTGGGGAGCTTCGTGGAGATAGCAGAAATAAGGAGATTAGCTTCATCGGAGGGACCACATTGCCAAACGCCAGGTAGGTAGCGAAATCCATCTAAACATTTGTAGCTGACATCGCTGTTGCAGCAATAGGTACTCCAAGCTGCCTGTGCTTTCAGTCTGTTCCTTGCTCAGACATGAGCAATCGAAATCGAGAGCTGATCAAAGCCTTAATGATCGGTCCGACCTTGACCTGCACACATCCGAAGCACCGATTGAGATCTCGAGTTTGAACATAGACCTTACCATCGATGAATTGGGCCTGACGGAGTACGCGGTCAATGGCGTTCTTGATATCTACGTCGTCGAACGCAGGATTTCAGCACGAAATGGTGACGTGGAGTCGGGCAAAGATGCAATCTTCGTGAAAGGCAGTGCTTGGGTAACTCAACATTTCCCTATAGCCGTCTACTGCTTTGGTACCCTGAAGCTGATTGCTCTAAATAGATCCATCCTATTCCACAATCTATGCGAGGACTGGCTATGCTGCTCTCTTCACTCCGAGTATTCACCGATAGAATCGGAGCAAAGAAGATGGAGCATCCAACTCAAGATGCGGTAAGCCTCCTCGCTTGAAGTTCCCAAGCTCTTGTCCGTGCTAAGTGCCAATCGCTCGACAGGTTTTGCACATTTTCAACCTGCTCACCAGATTCCCTCCTGCCGTCCGAACCATTCACATCCTTATGAATGGCAAGTCACCACGTCCCTGCGAGCGAGCTGCATTGGCGCAGTCATTGTACGAGGTTCTCAAGGATGTGGTTCCTGCTCAGCTTATTAAGTCAGACATGACTAGACTGTTCGAGGGAGCTCGCCTTCTGTTCGGATTGATTCTGGAGAAAGCAAAGCATCTGAAACTCAAAGAAGATGTTCAGATGCCTTACATCTCTTCTCTGAAGGTCCTCGATCTGCGAAACACTTTTACAATGGAGCCGATCGCGAATGCAGTTCAGACCCCGTTTGGACTTGTTGAGGAGGGCTATTACGAAGCCTTCAAGGAAGGCGGCATTCTCTATTGTAAGTTTTAGGAGAGAATCTTTTTCCTACACCAACTCTTTCATGGTTATATCCCGGGACTATGTCCCAAACCCCCGAAACACCTTGTATAGAGCGATTGCTAACTCATCCTCTACATAGGGGAGACAGGAGAGCAGCCATTGGTGGCATTGCAATTGGATGAACGTACTCGGAGAGTCTCTTTACTCTGCGGTGGACTGATCTCTCAAATCACTGCCCTCGACCTGAACATTCTCAATTCCATCGCTGGCTACGCAAAGAAAGGAGACGTTGATAGCCTGATACCACCCCGAGAATTGTCGGATTTGAATCATCTTTCGGCTCTCTGTTCGAGAAATGAACTATCAGTTCTTGCCCCATCAACGCTACCCTCTGCTGAGGCCCCCGCTTTGACACTCGATCGGGATGGCCTTCTCGCTGTGTACGTAGGCAGAGCGCCTTGCGCGCAGCCCGGGAAGGATATCTCAATCTTCCGCCCCACCAAAGGAGGGGAGGAGACTATCGATGTTGCGATTATCACCCAACTCTTGGTTCCGATCCTGGAGAAACGCGAGGCAGAAGGTACCGCAATTTTCGATGCCTTTGGTGACGGCTTCCAACGAAAATTCAAAACCCCGGACGAAATTGTTATGGTGTGCGTCGATTGTTCCAGTAGTATGTCAGAAAACACGGACTTCATGGAAATTCGAGACGAGGACAGCGAAGACGAAGACCATGCCGAGGACAGTGACGATTCTATGGACATGGGCGATCAACCCCAGCAAGGAAATGCCGCCGACGGAACTTCCTATTTCTGTGCTACCCTCGATGAGATGAAGAAGGCCATATCCGAACACGAGTCCTTCCTCGACATGCTCTGTATTGTCCACGATAGTCATGGGTCAACGCGTCGGGACGTTGCTTGCAAGGTTCTGGAGATTCTGAGTGGTCTTGCTTCGCAAGAATTGTCAAAGAGCCTTCAACGCCTTGAAGATCTCAAGAAACGAGTCACAATTGCGTTCTATCGAGCTCAAGCCGCGAATGTTGAATCCGAAATCACCAAGTTGAAGACCTTCACCGCGGGATTGAATATCCATCGACAAGCTCTCGCCGACTTCCTTATCTATCGTTCGTCAAATATGGAGGTTTTCGACAATCAATGGACCTGGACTGTTGGCAGTGCGATTCCAAAGATTCCGAAGAAATCCCCCGATAATTCGCAGAATCTTCTTCTCAACGAACAGTTCTCCGTCCCCGATGAGTTCTTATGTCCAATCTCACGCGAGGTGATGGATGACCCTGTTCTTGCAAGTGATGGCTTCACTTTTGAGCGCAACGCAATCGAGAGGTTTGTCTGCCCCTAGTACTACCGACTGCAGGAGAACAATATTCCAGCAGCTTCGGGACGTTGCTAGTAGAATGTCCCAAGAACTATCAAGGAAAATGCTGACCTAGCTTTTAGATGGTTTCAGATCCGCAAATCCTCTCCCCTCACTGGACTTGTCCTTGACAATACTGGCTTGAGAGCCAATGGACAACTGTCCAATCAGGTCAAGGATTGGATCAATGGAAGTGACCTAATCCAGTCGTCTCCCATCCAGGATTCTACTCGCTCCTCCTTCAGGACCAGATTGTCATCTGGTTCCCAGCATATGATGACTATTCGGTTTTTCAGCCGCCTTGGTACATTCGTAGGTGTTAGGGAGAAAATCCCTTTCCTATTTGTGACTGTCTCATGGTCCTCCCAAGAAGATATCCCGGGTTCTCCTGAAACATTCTCTACCGCGCAATTGCTGACTCCCACGCCCAGAATAGACAAGTTCCTCGAACCCTACCGATTAACACCCTCTATCGTCTTGCATTTCGAGGAATGAAAGGCCGACACACCAAATTCGAGTTGCATTTCAAGAATACGCTTCTTGAACCATCCGAGAGCACATTGGCGTCTACGAATATCCGCAATAACAACATGATTCACATCGACGTTCCTGAAACCAGATCACCAAATGCCCCACCGCTCGAAGCCGCTGACGCCGACCTTGAGGAGCTTTGCCTCATCAAGGCCTATAGGCAACACGATCATATGGCCTTCTCGTACTGGATCCCACGTAGAACCACTAACACTTTTGCGTCCGTTATCTTCAAATACTGGAGACATCTTTTCAAGACTGAATCCCGGCAATATATTTATGATCTGGTGCCCTGGACTGGCATGACTGACCAAGGAGATAGCCATTTGAGCGGAACCCCTCACGAACACTGGGATAGGCTTTCGGGGTTCCTCAATCTACGCCATGCTACGGGACAACTCAAGAATGAAAATCTATGTGGTTCTGATTCCCCTGACACGTCAGACGATGACGATCTCTATGGTATAGAGGATCAGCGTGTCGCCTCTCCTCTTGTGCTCAAGATTTGGTTGGGTGGAAAGCCAAAGAGTACAAACAAGTCAGGCAAGAACCTTTCAAGGGTAAGTAGAGTGTTTGTTCCAATGTACCAACAGGCGCTGATACTATTATGTAGCTCGACGTTCTGAAGTCCATGTTCGATGCCTTTGTCAATCGTCTCTTGGCGTACAACTACCAAACTCATATGGGATTGATCACCTTTCAGACTTCCGCAACAGTTTCACAGAACATAACCCATGCCATCGAGAACTTTCGACACAAGGTCAACGGGATGAATGCTCGTGGTGATACCGCTTTGTGGGACGCTCTAGCCCTTGCAAATGACCAACTCTCCGAATATGCACAGAAGTTTCCCAACGCTAAGAAGAGAATTATCTGCATATCTGATGGGGAGGACACTAAGTCGAAGCAGCGCAGCAGCGATGTATCTTGGAGCCTTTTTCAAAACAAAGTCGTAGTCGACTCTTTCTGTCTCGGACACGAAGACAATGTTGATCTGAGAACAATCTCGTATCTCTCTGGTGGATACAAGTTCACCCCGCAATCTCTCGAACAATCGATGCTCTTGTGTGAGATGGAGCCTGTCCTCAATCAACTCGAGCGACCTCCGATCGGCCCTCCTCGTGAAGCCCTTAGTCACAATTATGACCCGCATTTGCGATTTGTTTTTGCGAGGGATAAGGCGACCCCAGAAGTTGTCACTGCGGATATCTTTCCACAGCGGAAGGAGCATCCGAACGTCAACGATCACTTTGTTCAGTTGGCAACCGTGGCTGGCAACAATGCAGGCAAGCTGAATAATGGATCTGAGTCGGTAAATGCCCACTCCAATTCGAATCTGCGGACCTCGAGGATTCTCGTCGAGATCCGGAACATCGTCGCCAACCCTCATCCTCATTATGACGTCTATCTGTCCGAGTCAAACATGTCTTTCTGGAAGGTTGTTATGCAAGGCCCCCCAGAGAGCGCTTACTCAACTGGCACATTTGTCTTGTACATTGACATGGAAGAGGACTACCCCGCGTTCCCGCCAAAATGTCGATTTACCACACCGATCTATCATCCAAATATCAATCGACATGGCAAAGTTTGTCACAGTATCTTGGATCGCAACTGGACCTCGGATACTTCCAACCTCCAGTTGATCAACACGATCTACTCTCTCCTTCTCGTCCCAGAGTTCTCCGATCCTGTCAATTCGGTCGTCACCTTGAACTTTCATTGGGACGAAGTCGCGTTCCGTGATGAGGCTAAGGAGCATATTCGCAAGTACGCGACGAAGAGTCGAGAAGCCTGGAAGGCGGAGCTTCTCGCTGAGTAAGTTTCGGAAAGCGGACTGCGACTGATGCTGGTGGATCATCTTATCTTGCCATTCGTTTTCCTTTCGCGTTGGGTCTCGGCACTACTCGGATGGTGTCTCTTTTCATATTCCTTTTGCTTTTGTCTCTCGGTATGTCAGGGGAAACTTTGCAACAGAAACGGAAGTTGTCTTTCGTCATATGACAATAAGCAGCTACGCTTTCATTTCTGGGCGAATTTCCTAGGTGGGTTCGGTATCAGGGTCAGGTAAGGACGGAAAATAGGGAGTGCAATCGTGTGCTCATGTCTCCGGGGATGGGTAAGCTTGCGAACTTTAGCTAGAGGGAAATGAGAATCTAGCCAACCAGAGGCCTCGCTAGGTAGAGGCGGTTTCACCCAATCAGACCCAGTGTGTCAAATGATTTAGTTTGATTTGATTATAGCCTCTGAATCAAATCAAATCAAATCAAAATCTACTTAATCAAATCATAATCAATTATAATCAACTATAGTTGATTATAGTTAATTATTTAGTCACGTGACCGTGCACGTGCGCTCGGAGGTTCGAAAGCGAGATAAGGCTAAAATAAGGCTTAGGCTAGCCCGTATCCGGTATCGCTTAAGGCCCTCCTTACTAAATCGGGTATCGCGCTGCTTGGTAAGCGAAGCGGCGCGAGCCGAAGGCGCTAAAACCTCCTAATACCTTTCATCGTACTAACTCCGGACTTACCTTTCTTCTCTGCATTGGAAAATGTTTCTCGTAGTCTAACTTATCGCTGTCGTGTGACATGAGGGGATAGATGGCATCCATTTCTGCTCTTGAAAATGGGAATTAGAAAAAGGGTTTCTGGTTTGGATGACCATTAATAACAAAAGTACAGGTGAGAATATAAAAACTCTCAAGTTCAAACTTTGTGATTATTTTAAAGTATGATCTCCAGCGCGGTTCGGCTCCCCCTACCCACCGTTGCCACCTCCGTCGGCCTCCGCACAGGATGGTAATCACCGACAGTATGTCACTCCCGCGAAGGGGTTGGATGCTTGTAGGTAAGAAAATGCTCAATTAGTGCTTCATTGCTATTCGGCAGTCGCTTGGAGGCATAGAATCACGTATATTTGCTTGGCGTTCGTTCGTGGTTCGGGACTAAGTCCTCCGGCGTTAAGACTACTGCAGGAGAAACAGCGTCAAAACACACCACTTGTTGTGTCATCACGTGACCTCTTAGCGCGGCACTCTGTATCTTAGTCTCGAGCTCCCCGCTCCTTCTTCTCTCTTTAGACGTAATACACCACACACCCGAATACAGCTGTTTTCACGAGGACACCAGCTCTAGGGTCGTGATACCACTACAGACATGAAGTTAGAGGGAGAACTTCACCCCTTCTTAGCATGCCAGTAGTTTTCACACAATAGAGCAACATCCTACATTTCTCCAGTGCTAGAGTCTTGTTCGTTCTCACTTCGTTCATGCTAGTATTTCTCTACCTCAAAACGCCTTTCAAGCTTACGTCCACCATCTTCTCCTTACAAGTCACGCGGCGAATAGGATCTTCTTAGTTCTACATCTTGGATGAGAGGGATGGTTTCGATGTCACGTTTGCGAATTACTCGGTAGTACAGGAGACTACGCTTCCGGAAGATGTAGACCTAGTCCCTTTGATACTTTATTAAATTCCTTCGGGCTAAACGCAGAGTATACTAGCTAGCTCGATGCAAGGAACGCGTATCTGGAACTTTATCCTGGCTAGCAAGTGCATATCTGGACGGATAAAAATGCCGAGAAGTTGTGTAAGAGAAGTTTCCCCCCTTGGAGGCGATGTGGGACGGATATAAACATCCGATTCAGAGGGTAGATGCTTTGAGATGTATGGTGTTATATGAATATGGAGGTATAATCTAGTTTTATTCCGGGGACTAGGAGTTGTCCTTGACATGGACTTGCATTGCAGACGGGTCTCTTTGGCCACTGAGGAGATTCGGATTCACAGCCCCAGCGGCTCACCCAATTCGAAGAATTGGTTCCAATTCACTTGTATACAACCTGAACTGGCTTTTGCTGCCATATTCAACAGTTATGTTCAACCTATTCTGCCGCAACTCTTCGTGGATGTCACGGAGTCGAGAATCACGTGCTCCTGGCCAGTTGGAGTCGGCCATCAATTCGTGAAGAGAATCCCAGTAGCAAAAAACGCAATTTGCGCATTCATCTACCATAACATAATCTCCATCTCCTCCTGGAAGCATTGTTCAACGTTTCCGTATTTACATTCCCAGCTTCCACCTGATTTGCACCCGCATTCTCAGTGGGAGTATATCCCGGCGGAACCTCCCCCGGTTTCCCCACTCTCTCATATTTCGGCAACGGATCTCCTCTTTCAGCAACCCTTGTAACACCCACCTCCTCAATCTCCACATCCCCTTCTTCAACCCTGGCTCCCGGCACAGTCCAACTCGCACTCCTAGCCAGACTCCCCCGCCTCACCCTCGTTTTATGCACATATAAGCGCATCAAAAGAGCAGATACAAACAGCCCTAAAATAACGGATAGAATAATGATAATCGCTTTGACAGGTTTCGAGAGATTGAAATCGTGGTCGGGGGCTTGGTAATGCTTTGCGAGATCCTTGGTTGAGCCGGGTAGGTAGGCACCGCATGAATAGGAGGACGAGGACCAATCGCTTTGAGCAGATAGTTTGTCGAAGGTGGTGCAGTCGAAGTCTGGATTCGAGCTGTTGAGATGGAAGTGCCCAATAATGTTACGGAGACTTGGTAATGTGACGCTGAGAATACGATTTTAGTTTTGAGAAGGGAAAGGAGGCAAAGGGCCTTACGTTGAAAAATCACCAGAGAGAGTTATATTCCCTTGGCAGAACCATAGCTGATCCAAATGGTTGATCGTTTGGAGAAGTGTATTATTCGCAATTGTAATGTCACCTTTCACTGAAGTCAAAAGTGGGATACTGAGGTTATCCAGAAGATCGTTGTTTTGGACAATGAGGCTCCCACCAATATTCGTGAGGCTCGGAGCTGAGAAGGCATCGATCGCGTTGGTGGATATTTCAATAGTCGCGGTTGTTTCGGAAAGAGATGGTATGTAGATGTGACCAGCATTACCAATTGTAATAGCACCAGCAGACCTCAAGTCCGGAAGAAAGATCTGTGCCGATGGTCCATTGCTGACAATCGCCAACGAATTGCTGCCCCAGGAAAGGCCGGTAAGATTAACACTACTGAGTTGTTGATTGCCTTTGATCCAGATCGTAGCCGGATTGGAATAGTGCGTAAAATTGAGGAATGCAAGGCTGGATAGACCTGTGTTTATTATCGAAATGTCCCCGTCCACGTTCGCCCCTGGTAATCCATGTGAAAGTGTCGTCAGATTCCCAAACCAAACATCCGTAAGATCGGGGACCGTATCCCAGTATATTCCCCCATTGATGTTATCTAGGAGAGGAAAGCCGAGGCTCGCGAGCAGTGGGAGGCTCGAGAGGGTGAAATTGTTGGAGATTTGGGATAGGACTGGTGCTGTGATGGTCCGCAATCCAGCACAAGATGAGGTGGCGAGGTTGCCACTGATTGTTTCGATGCCATTGAGGGTGATCTGTATCAGGTCGTTGCCCTGGATGTTGACATTTCCATTGATGGTGCTACAGTTGTTTAACGCGTCCGCGGCGGCTTGGGATTCAATGGTGAAGCCACTCGGCGATGCACAATTATCTGCCACAACCTGTCAGCCTTTGCCCTCGGCCGTAACACAGAATCCACCAAGGTAGAAGGGTAGCAGAAGGTATAGGTACCACCGTTGACCACACCAGCCAGAGAGGCCATCGCCAGAACGGACCATCTTCTCCACCTTCTGGACTCCATTGGGAGGTGGGTGGTACAGAAGGGTTACCGCAAATGCTTCCATGATACGTCTTAGTAGTATTTTGCCATCGCCATAGCCTCGTGAAAAGGATTCCGAAGCGTCCGCGGATGTGGCAAGGTGCAGTGGCAGTGGCACGATGGTGGCGTTCCCGAGTACCAAGGCCGAGAGAACTACTGTAGAAGGATCCACTAGGCAACCTGTGAGGAATGTAAGATTATCACCGCCAAGAAAAACACTGCCGCACCTCCGCCCCAGATGCGGCTAGCGCGCACATCCCTCACCGCCCGAGTGAAGCGTGCGCCCGGTCGCAAGGCCCCTTTAATTAATTATTACGACAACAACGAGCATTTTTCTTATAAAAAAAATTAGTAGAGTTATAGTATAATACACTAATAGTAGCTCCTCATTCTCCGTTTAAAGAAACACCTCGTTGCGGGCGAGTTATCTCAGATAATAATAGAAACTACTACTTACCCCGTGTGACGGCGGGATCAAGGCAATGGTCAAGGCTCAAAGATCCGAGAGAATCCCATGTATTGAGAATACTAAGCTAAAGAGAAGAAGGAGAGAGAGAGAGAGAAGGAAAGTGGATAAAAGGAGGGAAATACTACTATCCCCCCCCTTGAATACTTACAGTGGGTCCTGGGATAACACCACTCCTGCACTGACCAACTCAAGGGTGTATGGCCAATAGCGATTCTGGAGAGCACCTGATATTTCCTAGTTGGGGGTTATAAACGAGGTTTCAGGGTGGCGTTACTAAAGGACCCACTGTAAGTATTCAAGGGGGGCAGTTTCCTCGTTCAGAACAAGTAATTTGGGCAGTAGGGGGAAAGGGACTAACTAATAAGGATCCCGTATATTAAATTAATTGCTTATCAAGTAATCTCCTTACTTCCTTTATTATTAATCTTTATTACTAGTGAGAAATATATAGCCATTCTCCAAATGAGGTATACTAGTGAGGAATATATGGCCATTCCCAAATGGAATATGCTAGTGAGGGATATATGGCCATTCCCAAATGGGATATGCCAGTGAGAAATATAGCTAGTCACGTGCACCGGCAGAAAAAAACGCTGCGCCCTGGCAGCGTTTGTTTTCGGAATGAATGTAGGGAAGAGCCGGCGTCGTCGCGCCTAGCACGTTGAGGCTGAATCCGCTGAGGCCGTGGATGTGCCTTTCTTAGCGAGGACTAGCTGTACTTAACACTCCTCACACACCCTCAATTGATCAACATCATCTCCTCCAACTATCCGAGGCCGCCAAGCGGCCAGGGATCGTCAACGTTGGGCCCCGGAATGCTGGCGGCTTTATCTGGCGGATAGGCGGCGGCAAGCAGGCTCGCGAAGTCCGGAAACGGGTCGGAACTGTCGCCCGTCAGCTGACTGTAGACGCCCTTCAGGCAAGAGCCGCCGACGACGTTATTGTTGGCATCGAGACCCGGCGCAGAGTCAATCATCTTGGGTATGTCTGTGAACTGGAGCTGATGGAACAGGTAATAGAGGAACGCCATACAGCAGCCGGTGGCCGGACCATTGCTGGCGAAGGGCTTCACGCTGCCGACATAGTCCAGTCGCGACCCGTAATGCGTGCCCGTCGAGGGGTCGAATTCCGTCGAGGCTGGGTTGCTTGCCGGAAGCGACGTGTTGAGCCAGGTCGCGGGTGTGCCGTTCATCAACCAGGTACTGTCCAGCCCATTTTGAAGTTGGAACTGCACCGTCAGAAACAGAGAAAGGGCCTCGCCGCAGCTCTCCTCGTTGAAGACGCCGTTGGAGTAGCCCCAGCCTTTGTGCTGCGCACTCATAAAGACCTCAGACACTTCGGCGATGACCAAGGAGCGCAAGAGCGTCGAGGACCAGCTTCCTGCGTCGTTTATGTACAGCGGCCAGCCCCAGCTCCAGCTCGCGTTGTAAACGCTTTGGATGACGGCCGTCACCGCGACCTGGATCGGAAAGGTGTTGCCCTCGGTCATGTCGACGCCCTTGAACTGCGCCTGCAGCCAGTCGAAATCATTTTCGATGACGGGTTTGCTGAGTGCGCCGGTCGCGAGCACCTGATTGATGCGCGCAGGCTCCCCGACGAGGGTGGCATCATAGAAGAAGTTGAAGTGCGTTATGACGCCGCCCGTGGTGAGGCCCGTCGTCACGCCCCAGACAGCGTAGAGAGTCAGATCGGTGGTCTGATCCGGAAACGTGCTGTTGGGGCCGGGAAACAAGATCGTCCCGGTCCCGTCGGCTTTGGTGTTCCAGTAGAAGAACAGCCGGCTTCCCAGCGTCAGGGTGCCTTGGTTCTGAAGGGTAAAGGAGGCGTTAGGCGCGTAGGTGTTGCTGTCGCTGGGAGTCGTCCCGCCAGTGCTGCCGTTACCATTATAGATGACATGGGCCATGATTTTACTTCAGGACGAGAGCGCGGGCGGTGCTGTTGCGTCAGAAATGGACTGTTTACTGATGCACAGGAAGAACAAACAGGACTCCTGAAGCGAAATCCACGAAGCTTGACCCAGTGGCTGATTTATATGCCGCCATGTACACCCCTCCCAGCTACAAGCCACAGACCAGACACTCAGCCAGCCGCCTTCTCAGCCTTCGGGCATTTGTGACACAACCACGCACCTCAGCAACCCGTGTGACACCTCCTCCAACGACTCACGATGGCCGAGTGACGGCTTTACTCGACCCAACCTATTCGGTGGGGTGCACCACATTGGACAGGAAAACCAATGACTTTTGCACGCCTTAACAACGCTCGAAGGAGAACTCCGTAGCTAAAGCTTTGTGATACTTTGGTTTGCTATGCAGCTCTTGCAGCCAAGAGCTCTGCCAGCTCAGCCTTCAATGTGACGTCAGTTAGCAGATACGCTCGTGGGGTAGCAGTGAAACTTATTACCCTCCAGAGCGAATCTCAAAATGGTCACAATAATATTTCAGCCCCGAAGCTCGGCGGCCTGAGGTATGAACCGAAATAAGACTGCAACGTGCCCTTGGTGTCTAAAGCATCTCTACGGAGTATTGTTCAGTTAATTCATGTTGGTGCCTTGATACCTGAGGCGGTTTTTTGACTGGCGCTTCTCGCTTTGCGGCCAATGGCTGCGAAGGACATCGCCACGGACTGCAGCAGTTGTCTCGGAACCACCCGTTTGGCTGAAATGCAGTCATCGTGGGTGGTGGCTGGAGCCTTGCCAAAAGGTCAAATTTCTTCCTTCTCATCAGCGTTCCCCATCAGTTGTGCCCACCAATTGTCGAATTCTTGCGGCCGTCTTGTTGAACCATGGACGCGACGTCCGCGGCAAACCAATACCTCAATGCCGGTCGCTACGACGACCTCTCAACTCTCGGCGGCAAGTACATTCGGCTTCTCGGCATAGATACTGCCTCCAGTCACATGAAGTGTACGCTGAGAACTGTCAATCTGGACGAACGTCCTCAGTACACCGCCCTCTCATATGTCTGGGGCGATCTGAGCGACATAAGGTTCATCGAATGCAACGGCAGCCCGCTCTGCAACATCCCTGGACGCGGCCCGGCAGTTTTTGGATCCATGCCACCGCATCTATGTCTATCAACACCGAAAGAAACCCTTCAGAAACTTGAGGTTTGGGCCTCCGTTTTCTGAGGATTTCCTTTTTACAATTCGGATTAGGAAACTTCTTTTTGTCTGCCTTCGCAACGCCTTACCTATTCTTTGTTTTGATCTATATACCTTCGTATCCTTATTCTCAAGTAGACGAATTTCACCTTTCGCCAGCCTTTGTGACGGGTTGAGACCCATAGAGAGACCATGCGCCTGAGAGCCCTAGGCACCTGCTTTTCCCTACCAACAGCTCCACACGGAATACAAATCATTATACGGAGCCTGGACTTAGTTTCTCTCCTTGGATTATTCTTCTTGTATGTAAGGAAACCATTTGATTGAGCATATCACTGCCGATCCGTGACAGCCTTTCTCTAAATCTGAAATAAGGGTATGCCTAAATATCTCTGTTCCGCTGATTAATCTTAAACCCCATTGATTATACCTCTTTATATTACGATTATAGCTCGAGTAGAGTCTATAATAGCGTCTGTTTAATATATTAATGCCTGCTCTTACCGACTAAGGAACTAGTGACGAAAGGCGGCTAGTTACGTAAGGCCGACGATTAGTAGCAATCAAAAGCGTCTCTATTCTTTGATTCGTCTCGCAAGCGACAGCTGAGACATGCTATGCTCGTCGTCGGATAAAAAAGTGGCCGATTTTGGCACGTCTACCAATACTAGGGAATTAGCATTTACTTCTTAATAATTTAATATAACTTTCTCCTTATGACTTCTCAGAACTCGTGTAAGATCTTGCAAGCCCTAAGCAGCTTTTTGTGCTTTTGATTCAGTTCTGTTGTCCTGAAAAGAGGGTTCACCAGATTGGAAGTAGAGACATCAGTAATCGCACAGGGGTCAATTTCGACCACTCATTTCTCCTACGAAGAGCCCGTGATGTGAATTTGACGACCTCGTACATGGCTTCCACCAGCTCCAGCCTTGTCTCGATCAACTTCAACTTTCTTCCCCGATCTCACTCACATATCTAATCTGGGAGCTGCACATTCCGGTTCTTGACCATGCGACTCCTCAATTCAATAACGCTTCAGCTAGCCGAGTTTACAGAGAGGGATCTCCCGCCGTACGCTATCCTCTCCCACACGTGGGAGACCGAAGAGGTTTCTTTCCAAGACATGCAAGGTGGCGAACCAAAGTGGAAAAAAGGGTACCAGAAGATTCAGGGCTGTTGCATAATTGCTGCAGCGACTGGATTCGAGTACGTTTGGGTTGACACTTGCTGTATCGACAAAACGAGTAGTGCAGAACTCTCCGAAGCAATTAATTCCATGTACTCTTGGTATCAGAAGGCCGACGTCTGCTACGTTTATTTATCAGACTATCATTTTGGTATATCTCATGGGAACCCCCTATCTACGTTAGCGACCAGCAGATGGTTTCAAAGGGGCTGGACACTACAGGAGTTAATTGCACCTCAAAGCATTATATTCTTTAACCGCTATTGGAAAGACATTGGGACCAAACAAAGCCTAAGGGTATTAATATCCAAGATCACCAATATTCAAGTTGAAGCACTTTTGGGAACAAGCCTTGAAAGCTTTAGTATAGCGCAGAGGATGTGCTGGGCCTCTCAGAGACAGACTACTAGGGTCGAGGATGAAGCTTATAGCCTTATGGGCATATTCGGTGTGCATATGCCAATGCTTTATGGTGAAGGAGACCATGCTTTTATCCGGCTACAAGTGGAGATTATCAGAAGATCTACTGATCATACAATTTTCGCATGGGCAACCGGCTATCCGGATAGCAAGGTTTGCACTGGAGGCCTCTTCGCTAAATGTCCTTCTGCCTTTGTTAATACGAAATCTATCGTCCGAGACCCTTTGAGAACCAGCTTACCATTCGAATCTACCAATAAAGGCATACATCTCCATCTCCCTATCTTCGAAGAAGATTTCGGCATTCCCGATTGTCAGGAAATCGGCCGGCCGGGGTATAACCTCGCGATCAGGCTAACTCGCAACTCAATTTCAAGCGATACATTCCATTTCGATCCTTACTGCGGAACCGTTAGTGTAGCGGTGCACGAACGAGAAAGCATTGCCATAGAGTCAATATATGTCGCTCAAGTCCAGGAGACGGCCATAAAGTCCTTGCTTCCTGGATTCGGTTTTTAGTTGGCAGAGTTGCTCTTCGAGTCAAGCTTCCCAAATAGTGGTGTTAAACTTACGGAGATTACTCCCACTAGATGGTCTCCACATTATAGACCAGATGGCTCGTTCTACATCTTTGATTATGGGGCGCCACTTTCCGCAGATAAGAGAAACTTGGGTGAGCTTTGTTTTGGGGGCACACGCAACAACAAGTATATGGGCTTTGCGGTTGGCATCAACATCCAGGATCCGGTAGATCCTTCTCAATCAAGCGTTTTTCTTCAAGTATGTAAGCTGGGAGAAACTGATATTGCCGTTCAATTGTTTGCTGGTAAAGACATGACCAAGGAGCAAAAGGCACGGGAGCCTACGCTAGATAGATTTTCATGGCAACATCCCCGGCATGAGTTGGATATAAGTGTGAGAATGAGACGAGCTATTGTCTTTGGCAAGAGGACTATTATTGTCATAATTACAGACGACCACCCCTCCGGTATAGAGGGCTATAAGTATGAATCCCGACTCCTCTACTGAGGCCCACAGCTAGCCAGTCGACAAAACCGAGAAGCGAGATTTGATTTTCTGATTTTCGATTTCTGATTTTCTGATTTCTGATAACCGTACATGCCTGCCCCTCTATTTTTAGGATATACCTTACTATTACTCTAGTAATTTAGTACTTATATTACTAAAAGTGCTTTATAATAGTAATATATAGCCTAAACTTATAATATATTAATACTATTAATACCTTATTTAATTATATTATAATATTATAATATTCTATAAATCTTTTACTATATTATAATACTATTATTAAATAGGCTTATATAAACGTTTCTTATAAAATAATTATAATAAGATTAAAATATTTATAGAAAATTAATATTAATACCTATATAATTAAATACTAACTATAAAAATAAAATATCTAAATATATATTTAAATACTAAATATATCTTTTTTTTATATAGATTATAATTCTATATTATCTGAAAGATATAGATAAGAAAATACTTAAGAATCTTGAGAATTATAGCTATATAGCTTTAATTACTAGAGTTATTTATATATATAAGAAGCTTAGTTTTATTTATTATATAATTATAATAAATAGACAAGTAGTAAATAAATAACTATTTATAATACTATAAAATAAACTAAATAATAGGCGAATTATAAGTTATAAATAATAGTATTTATATATATACTTCTATTAATAAGATTTATTAATAACCTAGTTAGCCTTTTTATATTTTATAGTTTTATTCTAATTTAAAAAATTAGGGCCTTATTTATTAATATATTTTATTATTTATAGAAAAAGCTTATATATAATATTATAACTTCTTGATTTCGAGGCAATTATATTATAAATATAATAAATATAGTTTAAGAAAGAAAATTATATTATATTTGAACTAGACTAGATTTAGTTAATTAATAGATATAATAAGCTATTATTATTTGAAATCGAGATATATACTTATATTAATACTTATTTATATAATATTATTTAAATATATATTAAAATCTCTAATTAGATTATTTATTTAATTATATAATAGTATTTTCAGATTTATATTTAAATAGGCTATTATTCTTATTTATTTAGGACTAATTAAAGCTCTAAACTTCTTTTTATTATTAAAATATATTTCGTATTTTTATAAATAACTAATTTATTAGTTATATATATAAAGAATTATTTTATTTCTAAGAAAAGTACTAAGAATTAGCGAGTTAAATTCTAGTAATAAGAGCTTTAAAAAAGCTAGCTATATTAGTAATATATAAGTAATTCCGTTTTTTTTATATTTGCTTTTTATTTTTTCTATTATTAGAAAATAGTATTATATATTAATAATTATACTACTTTTTATTAAGGCTATTAGATCTAATATTATAATACTAGATTATATAACTAATTTTAATTAGTATATATAGAACTACTTTTAGGAACTAGCTTATATTAGAAGTTATAATTACTAATATTAGTATTTTATATATAATAAATTCAAAACGAGATATATAGATTTATAAACTTATAAAATATTTATAAAATTAGAAAAAACAAATCTAGGCCTAATATAATAGCTAGTAAGCTATTTAGACTATATATAAGGCTTTTAAATAAGATATAATACTAGAGTTATTTCATAAATATAAAGTTTTATAATATAATTCTTAATAATTATTTAGTTTAAAATAAATAATATAATCTTATATAGCTTTATATAAATAGTTTACTTATATATTAATATAAATATTAATAAGTTTTTATTAAAATAAATACTAGAATAATATTATTAGAAGCTTATATTTTATAATATAAATATAACTAATATTTATATAAGAAATACTAATAAAAATAGTAATTAATTATATATTTAAGCTTATTACTAGCTCTAATATATAGTTCGAATATATATAGCTTTAAAGCAGCTATTAATATTAGTAGAATCCGAAAAGCTAACTAATAAATATAATATTATTATATAAAATAGAATTCTTAAATAAATTATTCTAAAAAATATAAAATATATAAGTAATATATAGGCCGGAAAAATACTTATATAGTTTCTAATAGTCTAAAACTTTATTTAGAAATAGCTTTTTATTAGTAATATTTCTAATAATATAAAGTAATTAAATAAGTTAGAAAAATATCTATATAGTTTCTAATAATTTAAAACTTTATTTAAAAATAGCTTTTTATTAGTAATATTTCTAATAATATAAAGTAATTAAATAAACTAGTTATAAATAACTAGATATATTAAAATAAGTATTATTTATTATTAAATATATTATTTTCGAAATTTCCTTTTTATTTTTAAAAATAATATTAATAGAATTATTAAACTTTTTTATTATATAAATATTTTATATTTTTAAATTCTTATTTTTTAAAATAATATTACTATTTCTTAAAATTTATTTTAATAATATATATCCTATAACTAAATACTAATATAATAATATCTAATATTATAAGTTCTATTAATTTACTAATAATAAATGTAATATAGAAGCTATTATTTTACTTATTTAAAATAATAATATTAATAGATTTAAATCTTATAATTCTGGAATTCTATTTATATTTATTTCTTTTTTTATATCTGAAATATTTTAGATTTCTAGCTTTTTTTAATATTCTTATTCTATATCTTTTTTTCTAGAAATATTTATTATATTTATTTCTCTAATTACTATTATTATATAGCTATTAGGTATTATTTCTGTTTTATTCTAGATTCTTTCTATTCTAATAGCCTTATAATTACTTTTTTTAATATTTTCTTTTACTATAAGCTATATTACTTAACCTAATTACTTTTTTAGTAATATTTATATTACTATATAAGCTTAATAGGCTATAAATACAAGAGTTATTTAGGCTATTATTTAAACTATAGCTTTTTATATTAGTAATAAATTATCTAAAGTTCTTTAAGGTTCTATAAATTAAAATATAGCCAGATCTAGTTTTATAAAATTATAAATTATAGTTTTATAGCTAGTTCGTTATAAATAGGCATTTAATAATATAAAGAATTAAAAAGCTAAATAAAGAACTATTTAATTTTCTAAAGAAATTAATAATAAGTTTTTTTCTATTTCTTTTACTAGATTCTTTATATAAATTCTAATAAATATTTTTTAATAAATAGCTTTTAATTTAAAATAAATAATTAAGTCTTTTTTATTTTCTTTATATTAGTAAATCTATTTATTAATATTAATTTATTAATATTAATTTATTAATAATATAAATAAACTAGTATTCTATACTAGTTTTAATAATAAAAGAGTCTAGAAACTTATAGTTTTACTAGATTCTATTTAAACTATTTTTAATCTTTTTTATTATAATATATATTTAAGTTCTAAAAATATCTAAATAATTTTCCTTGTTTTATATTAGAATAAGACTTTATATAAAGATTTCTATTTTAAAATTACTTAGAAAAAGCTAGAAAATACTCAGAAAATATAATAATTTAAAGAAATTAAATAATAAACTAAAAAGGCCCAGAAAGCCTTAAAAAAATATTATTTATTAATATAAATATAAAACTTTAAAAGTAAAAAGAAATCTAATAAATTAATAGTTAAATAAAAGTATATATATAATTCTTTTCTTTAATTCTGGCTTTTATTATTTATTTCTTTTATAAATCCTTTTTTATTTTTAGGTTTAATTAACTTATATATATTAGAAGCTATAAAATAATATAAAAAGTATTATTAAAGCTAATTCTAATAATAATAATAATAATAATAATAATAATAGATTATTAGATTCTTTTTTAATTTTATTATTTTTCTTTAATAAAAGAAACTATAATTAATCTTATAAATTATATAAATATTACTTTATAATAATAGATATAATATTTTTAGTTTTATAAATAAAACCTAAAATATTCGGGCTATTACTAGTATTTTACTTATTATATTAGATAAAAGTCTAATTATTATTATTAAATTCCCTAGACTAATTAATCTTATTTCTTCTAAATAAATCTATTATATAAGATTTAATAAATTATATATAAATATTTACTAAAATTAAGATAATTAAGAAAAAATAAACTTAATATCTAATATACTTTTTCTTATATTT